TATAATACTTCCCTCCTAACTGAATCGTAAGCTTTCTTGAAGTCTATGAATAGCTGATGTACTGTCTCATCGTACTCCCATTTTTTCTCCAATATCTGACGAATGCAAAAGATCTAATCTGTAGTTGATCTGTTATGTCGAAACCCACACTAATGATCCCCAATAATTTCATCTATATATGGACTTAACACTGAGAGAAGAATATTGGATAAAATTTTATATGAAGTTGATAGCAGTGATATCCCTGATAATTACTACAGTCAGTTTTATCACCCTTCTTGTGAACTGGTACAACAATAGAATCCTTCCACTGATCAGGCAATTTTTCCTTATGCCAAATAGAAGTAATTAGATTGTGCATCTTAGAACGTAATATTTCGCCTTTTGCTTGAATAAGTTCTGCTGGAATTTGATCACTACCTGGCGATTTATACCGTTTCAATTTTGCAATAGCACTTTCAACCTCAAAAGGGCTAGGATCAGGTATTAATGGCTCAGCTGTATCGATTTCTGTCTGCCTAACATCACTGACCCTATGTACATTCAATAACTGAGAGAAGTAGTTCCTCCACCTATTCAAAATGTGGGAATCTGTAAGCAGATTACCATTCTCACCCTTCACTAAGTTACTGCTAGGCTGGTAACCCCTCTTAAAGTCATTTATTCCTCTATACAGGTCTCTAATATTCTTGTTCTTACTGTTCACAAATATGGGAAGAAGAAAGCATACCACCGGCTTGGAAAACAGGTTAAACCTGTCCCATTCATAAAAAAGGAGATAAATCTGACTGCAATAATTACAGAGGTATAACCTTACTCAACACCATATACAAAATTGTGACAAGTTTGATAAATACAAGGATAATGCAGATTACAAAAGAGAGACTTGGAGAATACCAGTGTGGGTTCCTTAAAGGAAGAAGTACAATGGATCAAGCAGCATGTGGTGTTGTCTTCACAAGTGAAGACAACACCACACGCTGATAGAGGGAACAACACACAAGCAAGAGGAATACTGCATATTGCAAATGTAGCAAATCAAGCTGCAGAAACAAACTGTCTGGAATACATGTATCACATAGATTTAAACAAATGGACGATGCCCCTTACGAGGTGGAATAGGATTTTACGAAAGATTTTAATAGAACAATTTTAATGAATTTTATGTAATTATTTATGTTATTTTAAGTGGACTGCAACATGCAATTTTAGCGCACATCAAAGCAGTGTAACAGTTTGGACGTACTGAAACGCCTGAGGATGGCCGTCTGTGGCTGAAACATGTTGTGTTAGTGTTAAACGGTGAATATTTTAATGATTGTTGCATTATTGACAGACTTAATACACAGACGTTTAATTAAAGATGTGCAACAGGATGCTGAAATATAGAATTAAAAAAAGTTATCATACTTATCTTATCCAAGCCTTGCAGTACTTACTGGTTAAACTTTAACTTTAACTTAAAAGCTTACGGTAATTCCTTTCTGCACCCTTTTAAAAATGTTACTACCCAACTACCTTGAATCTGAAGTTTGATGGGGCAAAAGATGTTGTACTATCTGTAACAGACGTTTTCTTCATTGCAGCAGTTTTCTGCCTAAACCTTGGATGTTCAAGCCCTGCATGTGTGGATGTCTTTTTGTTATGTTCAATATGGCTCATGTTAGTGAGATCATTAAGATATGGAGACCCCATTTTATGATGCACAACACCACACTTAAAAACTGGTTTCTCTAAAGCCTTCTTTAACAACTTCTGCCGCTGTTTCTCTTCCTTCCACTTCTCCAGTCTTGATTTGCGTGAATCAGCTGCTGTCTCTGGAAAATGAACACGTTCAAATGTTACAATAAGGGAATTAATGAATTCTACTTTGGTGAAAAATGACAACTCTGTTCACAATCACACCTTTAGGATATATTCAATGGGATGGAACTTAAATTTTGGAATGTCTTCAACAAAAGTACCCTCTTTCCTGAAACCATTATGCTATGAAAGAAAATCTTGGAGAAGCTGAAATTTCACACTGGAAAGCATTAAGGTCCTCAAAATGAAAGAAATTCTACCCCAGGAAAAGTGCTGCCTGCCAGCAACATAATACTCATATTTATACCAAAAGCTACAGTCAACGGTTTAAGCAAGAATAATTCCAACATAAATTCCGTATGACAAACTTTCTAGCAGTTACACTGTTCCCAGTCAAGACTACATACATGAACACACAACAATACTGTCATGTATTTTTGGCGGGACTATTAGACGGTGTTTGGATTGGATGATTGGATTTATTGACTTTATACACACCACTCAGAACTACATGTGATTACAGCACTATTGCTGATCTACACACTCTACAAATCACCGTTACATACACACTACATCACTAGTCATATCCTGGCAACAAATTTATAAGTCTCATTGTAAATTCAAACCACACATAAAGTCTTCAAATCACATGCTAAACATTCTCTCCACAGGCTCACTTTCAAGTATCAACTGAACTCAAAGTCAAAATTACTTCATGACTGGAGGTTTAAGCTAATCAGTTTGTCTTGGGGCCAAGCCATTAAAGCTCAGGGCCAGAGACATAGAGATCTCTTTTTTTTTTTAATTGAGCCCTTGCAGTAATAGTCCTTCTGTAACATCCTCTCCGAGAAGAATATGGGTTTGTCTCTCATGAATACTTGCATGCTTGGCCTTTTGTCAAGCGTATGTGTAACAGTTATAGCATGTTATAGAAAATTCTTCCTTTTGCACTATATACAACCTTTCCATGTGTTTTGAGATGACTCTCTGAAAGCAAAGCCACATCTACATGTACGTCTTGCAACTGTTTCCTGAGCTTATAACACTGCCTCCAAATGTCATTCGCATTAAATGCTATGAATTTAAGTGGCCTATGAAGTCTGACTGACATTTTGTTGCATTAAGTTAAGTACCATTATTGTAACAGTTATTACTTTGTCTTCTGATACAACTTTACTGAGCTCTCTCATGATATGTCTAAGTGTGATCTGAGTCTAAGTCTGAGAGTGAGACTTAGACGTCCCATACACATACGAGTCTGGCTTGTGAGTCCAGCTCGGCGAGAAGCCGGGCTCGGATTAATTTCACCACACACAGACAAGTTTGGCTCACTGGAACCCAAGTCGAGTCAGACTCGTATGTGTATGGGCCCCCTTAAATTACTACTGACAGTCAGTCAGCCAGTCTGTCTTGGAATAAAGCAACCATCTGGGGATTACGATCAGACTTTTATTACTGTCAGAGAGTTGCGGGATTGTTTATGTGGGATGCTTTCTCTGACAAGAGGATGGGTCTGTCATTTACAATTTCTGCTGGTCCTCACCAGCGCAGTCATTCTCTGGTCTGAGCCCCATGGTACTCATGACCATATTTTACTGTCTCAGATTCCAGACTTCCATTTTCATTGCCTCCTGTGACTCACAGGGTCACAGTGGAGGTATTCGACACCGCCTCCACACGAGATTCAAGTGAGCTCTAAATTTTGTCCCGCTTATAGCCCCTCAGCATGGACCAACAGAAAACACAGCTCTTCTGTTGTTGTGTCTGGATTTGTTGTCTCAAAGATGAGTTTTCCATGCAGATGTGTAGGAATGGCCATGGCACAGACCACAGAGAACACTACTTCCAACAGTTCCTCTGTTGTTGTGTACTTATTCGTTGCTGTGGGAACTTGTTTGTTTGCATCATTACCTAGTAATGGGTCTACACACTCCAATATCATTGGTGCCAAAGACTTTGAATGAACACATAATTACAAATAGGGGTCAACAAATATTAGATCTGTTCATGAAAATATCCCCTATGTAACAATGAATCATAAAGTAGCTGATGTTAGTACAATGTTTGAGAAAAATGTCGTTTTGTGATTGAGGCCTGGCTGGGGTCTGCTGCTCAAATCCCTTTACATTTAGGACTTTCTGGCTCACCAAATACTATTCACTTCCACTGCCTCTATAAATTCATCTTTTCATGACCACAATACTTTCTCATACAATGTATGTAAATATGTATCAACCTGCATACAAATTTTGGATACTTGACCAGAATCAATAAAGATATAAAAACTTTCTTGACAGGCCAAATCAGGTTCCCCTGACTGTGAGAAAAAATTGAAAACAGTGGCTGAACATGCTTTATATGACAAATGTCAAGGAGAAAGAAACCGACAGCTGCATTACTACCCAACATCCAAGTTACGGTTTATCTTAGACAGGGAGTATAACACCTACATGAAATATGGATCTTCTAGAAAGTGTCAGGAAATTTTTTGACGTCAATTCCGTGATGAAAGAGTTCCCAGCAGACAAACAATTCACAGTTTGGTAATAAACTTAGATCTTGTCTTAATTGACAAGAAACAAAAATATATGCACCAAGAGCTTACTGAGGAAGTCAGATGACATAGGAGCCAGACTTGAACATACACCTAGATAATCACTGAAACATCTAGCTCAAGAGACTGGAGTGTCAAAATCTAATGCAAGTAGGGCAACACAATTGCTGAAGTTAGACCCTGTAAAACATCAGTAATCCCTGCCTTGCAGCTGCGAGACCCAGTTAGCAGGGTTCATTTTTCTAGTTGGTTTCTACAGTCTGTCTTTGAAGGCAAGACCGAACCACAACTGACATTCTTCTCTGATGAACTGTGGTTTCACTTGTAGGAATACATAAATATGCAAAATAATCGCTACTGGAGTTTACAGAATCCACATCTCACCAACAAAGTTCTGCTCCATTCAGTAAAAGTTGGTATCTGATGTGCTACAAATGCAAGACTGTTGTACCTGTGTATTTAAAGAAACAATTAGTTGCAAAAGATATGACAGGGCATTCTTGAGCAATTCTTTCCACAGTCAACAGAATAACAAAGACCATGGCTGGTTTCAACAAGTCTCCGATACTGCCCATATTGCATGTATGTCTATGCAGACACTATCCGATGTCTTCGGGGACATAATTATCAGCAATGGTATTTGGCCAGCACGCCCACACAATCTTAGTTGTCGAAGGTCAAAGTTTACAACAGTAACACTCAAACGGAAGAGCTAAAAGAAATTAGTCATAGGGAAACTGCAAATATTCCTGAAGAACAGCTTCAAAGAGTAAATCAGAACCTATTCTGCCAGTGCAAAGGGTGTCCATGTGCAGAGGGACAGCATTTTCAACACCTCCTGTGATCTGTGAATTTTAACTTCTTCATTCTGAACATTATTGACCAACAGGCATAATGATTCGTCGACGAAATTCATTTGAAACTTGCAGCCAGCAGTGCAATGGTTGCCGTGAACTGGTCAACAGAGGTAAGAACCTCCCTGTACTATCACTGCAGATACAGGAGATTGGTGTGTGCTGCCATTACTGCTACAAGAATAGCATATTTAATATATTTTTCTACAAATTAGTAAATCAGAAAGGTATGGCAATGGCATTCTTCTTCCCTTTCTTTAGAACGTTATAAAAGAAGACACAGTTGTTTCATGCAAGATGGTGCTACAACACACACTAATTATTCCATTAATATCTTAAATTGACAGATCAGTAAGTTGCAAATTGTGGCCTGCGAGGTATCCAGACATAAATCAACCAACTATATATGAAATATTAATAAACTTTTGATTTAGTGTCCTTGGGCTTCGATCTGCATTATAAGAAAAGATTGTGGTTGCTTTAGCCAAAAACGTCATCGCATCTACAGTTAAAAATATAGTGCCAATCCTGCTGTGTAAGTTCTTGGTGGATATAATTCTTCTTAAGATAAACACTGTCACTTACTGGGAATTTGGGAATCATCTGTAAGGCCATTCAAATTACGTTGCTTGCTAAACTGCTCAGTTCTGGAAACATGACGATATTCTAATTGCTTCTGGATTCGTTTATATTTTCTAGCACCCGCAGAGACTAAAACATTCTTTTTATATTCTTCCCTAAACCTGGAAATCATTCCAGCCATCATCACAATCTTGTAACACACACAACAGAAACCGGTAACAACTAAATTTGAAAGTATATAATCGTACAACCGACACTTGCTGGCTATTGGTCAAAGTATACTGAAACTCGCTCTATGGGTCCGAACGGTCCGAATTGCGCAAGTCGACGAATCTCACAAAACGCCATGCCAAGCTGTCATATCGGTCATATCCGTGCCAACTGCAAAAATATTCCTTCTACAACAACAGCAAGAATAATAAGTGCCTAATGTGTTGGTGACTCGAATTCATTCCCATAATAACTGAAGAGCAAACAAATGTGCAATTCAGGTAGAGGTCACACCAAGGAAACTGGCAACCGCAACCCAACCGAAATTTCTTAAAATTTTTATCAGCATGCGTTGAAGACATGTTGCTGAATGGAGCAACGATAATTGAGGAAACTGCACTGTTCCATTCAGTAACATGTGTTTAACGCAGGCTTATACCAATTTTCGTAAATTGCGGTTGCGTTGAGGTTGCCAGTGTCCGTGGTGTGCGCCCACTAATCTGGAAACCAGTTGCCTGCATGAAATTGGTGACATTTCTTGGAAATTTCGATTGAGTTGCGGTTACCAGTTCGCAGCATTGCAGCCTCTTCTCTTGAATTTCTGAGACGAAACCTTAATATTCCTTGAATGCCTGCACCAGTCTTCACGAAACTTGATATGCATATATATATAACGACACTGGTGTAATTTCAGCGCTGCCCATCATAAATCGTTTTCATCAGTAATATGAACATTATAGCCTCTCAAATTATTGAGGTAATACCTTTAATATTACTCGAATGCCTGAATCAATTGACATGTGACTTGGTATCTGTATCATACTCACTTCAAAAGGGTATACTCATAAATCACTCCCATCAGCAATATGAAACACTACAGCCTCCCAAATTCTATTGTTTTATTGACTTCACATATAAATACTAAATTTCTCTTTCTACTTATCGTTATCAGATACTCAAATCACAGTGAAAGGAAAGGAGGAAATCAGTTCTTCCCAGAACGTCTTGTTTGTTTTCTAAATCAGTATGTTTCCACACAGTGTAATCATCCAATTTGAGCTATCTTATGTGAATCTATTGGCATCTTAATGCTGTTTTATACATATTCACATAACTGTGCTCTATCCCTTCATGAGGAGTGACAACAGCAATGAAAGATGTGTGCGCTTGCTGTCATGAAACCATTTTATAAGAATGTAATCTTGAAAGACATCACAATTAGTTATCAGTTGATTTTTCTTAAGATACTTTACTTTGAAACGAAAGGGTTCAAGGTTTTAAACATTTTTTTTTCATTGCACAGAAGATACTGTTTACAGAATTATTCAACAAAGCAACATTGACTACAGAAACACGATTTCATGTTGCTTGCCTATTAGTGAAACTCAAGAATTTTCACGTGATTAAGTAATCAGCTAGGGAACCACGCTACTACAGAATGAAAAAATTAACTTGAAATATTACCTAGTATACAATAATTTGGAGCCAGGTTCAAACACTGTTACTAGAAGAACTGAGGCGTTCTCATATAACCCTTTTGTTTATATTCTTGGTTTACTCATTTGCATCCTCATTTCTGGTTTCCTGTTCTTACAGCTTTAATTTGGGGTACAGGATTGAAAAGACATAGATCATTTGCTGGAGCTGTCTGGGGAAACTGAATTACTTGGGGAAAACCTGCACCAGTGCTATTTTATTCACCACAAATCACACATAACCTGACCTGGGACTGAACCCGGGATGCTGCAGAGAGAAGCCAGTGACTAACTGCCTGAAGTATGGCAAGGCTGACATCCAACCTAAATCATACGTCCCCATTAATAATCCTTTGTACATAAATTTCATGTTAACTTTACTAACGGTCATAATACCATCGCACAACTGATATGCTGATGCCATATATTCTTTAAAAGTCACATTCATGTGGATAACTGAAAGGAAATTTTACTACAGTGCATAACTGAAAACTGACCACTGTTTAGATGCCAGAAAACAAATTTCGGAAGAAAAGAAATGGTACAATGTAACCTCGCTTTATGGTGCCATACATTCCTGGAAGGTCAAACTTATGTGGATAACAAAGGCAATTATAATACTGTGGATAACTGATAGGTACATTCAAACAAATCACTTTATGCTAAATAAATAGATAAACTATAACTAAAAATACAAACATTTTTATTGGACTGAAAAATACAATTTTCTATTATTATTTGCATTAAGTACAACGTTTCCTTCTCAGATTCATAAAAATAATTAACTTATGATCTTGACATCCATAAAACTCTGAAAGAACAACAGTTTCACATCCTTTGTCAAACAGCATAACATTTCTAAACTGTGTTGAAAATACTACTGATATTCAGACCTTGACATTTGTTTAACTATGATTAGATCTATAATTGTGATAAAAATGTATTGATCATTACAACAGCTAGATTGTAAGATGCAAGACTTGTTTTGTATGATGCTGAAGATGAATCCTTAATATATATTAAATTTAATTGCTTACCAAAAGATTTCAAATATTGTTTAGATAATACTTCAACTATCTTGACCTTTAACTTCTAGTTTTTCTTAATGCTACAAACAGCCAATGCCACAGTTTCATATTTCGGTAACATCAATATTTTTAATACATTTTGTGGAAATGGTAACTGCAATTGCCATTATTAGTGTTGACATAGCGAAGAGTCCTGTGTGTGTGTGTGTGTGTGTGTGTATACACACACATACACAGTAAAATGCCATTATAACAAAATTCAACCCTTGTATACTTGCATGTTTAACTCAACTTAAAATAAATATTAATACATGGAGATCATCTGGATCTGTTGCAAATTGCTCAGCTAGTCCAGAAGAAAAGTCACATCCTTGCATGAACACTTTTTGCATGTAACTGAACTAGCACTGCCTTCAGCAAATCCATAGGCCAACATATCATAATCAGAATCCACCCAGATCACAGCAGATGCTGCAAATGGCCAAATTTTTATGCATACATTCCTTGCATCTCTGTAAAAAGTTCTCACTCACACATTAAGTTCCTTTTGAGACAGAGCAAATCTGAAACTTGAAACCTGAAAGTTTAAACCCCAGCCTCCTCTGCTGGGCATCTAAGAGATCTTTTTAGGGGACATTCAATTAATCCACTTTCACTCTTCAGTGACCACTTGGTATTATTTTGATTTGGTTCTTTCCTTCCTATCCAATAACATCCCTATGTATCTGCATTTCTTTAGACTGTATAAATAATATTTTATTTGAAACTGCAACATCCTGAAATATAAGTTGGGATAATTTTCTTACTGCTCACATAAGTACTGTATTTTAACACTAGTTCCAGTGTGTAACTCTCATGTAGCATTTCAACATAAGAAATAATATGATTGACTGTTTAATACAGTAGCGGGGGTTTGGAATTGTAGTCGCCAGCACATAACACATAAGCTCACTTCACACTACCTGTTCAACAATTTACCAGGGCAAAACTGTGGTGTGTATAGGCTACTGGCCTGTCAACTACACCATGAGTCTGAACACACACAGCACAAGATGGCATGAGTACTGTGTGTCCTTCCTGCTTGACCAGGCAGCATCCCATCAAATAACCTCCCTGCATAAAAGTAAAAAGTAAGAAAAGTAAAGGTATCCCTGTAACAGGCCATGGAGGTCCATATGGTTGTGAGACATTGAGGTTCCCACACTTTCTAGACAATCGGATCATAGATGGCGACAAGGTTGTCAGCCCTACGTGCCAGCCGCCCTTTACCCCTAAGAATATTCCAAGAATATTCCTGGTACTCATTTCTGTTAGAGGCTGAGTCGACCCCAGGGCCACAGTATGGCTGGAAGGATTAGGTCAATTGAAAAAAATCCAATGACCTCATTAGGGCAAGGATTATGGAAGATTTGTGTCACAGTACACTCAGCTGTAAGAAAGAGAATTCTGTGGCTGTCCTACAGCCATGATAATCTACAAATCAGATAACCTAGCCATCACTATACCTTTAATAAACAGTGTATTACTTCATGAATTAAACAACAAATGAGAAAACATAATCATCTACCCACTGAAGTGGGTGACAAGCACTGGATAATATAGCTATTATGTACTTCTGGCTTTCAGTACTTAGCCACGTATTGTGTTGGGGCTGTCCTGTTTCAAAATACACTGCAGTCATCATTTTCAGAATAAATCCTATCCATTGCATAGCTCCACCCTTATTCCCATTATGAGACTGCTACTATATAAGGACATGGCTCCTTCCCATTGGATAGTGACATGCTCTACAGCCCCCACCCTTACTTCTACTGTGAGACCTATATAGTGGATTGCATTCTCCTCCTAATTCACTCTAAAACATCTGCAAATGCAGTGTATGTCAAAACATTGAAATAACATCAGCACACAGTGCAGCTAAACCCCAAAGGCAAACCAATATACTGGATACAGACCATGAAATCCTAAGGACAGTTATAGAGCTATGGTTGTGAGATACTTAGTGTACATTAATGTTGTGATTCTATCTATGAAAAATTTTTAATAGTGTAATACAAGAAAAATATCACAGCTTTAAACAGTTTATTAATATCTCATAACACCATAATTTTACTTGAGATTCAAGATTCAAGTGGAAGAAACTGTTATCTTTAATTGAGTGGATATAATAGTAAAGGTAAAGATAAAATCGTCCCTGTGTTTCATTAATTAATGAAGACACATAAGGCACTGGAGATACAACTCCATGTATTCTTAACCTTGGCATTGATGGAGGTAATCGGTCAACTTCATGCCTCAGTTTCTTCACTCCCAGGGAAAGGACCCTTGGTACCCAATGGACAACAGGCTGCCTGGTCCCTAGCTAGTCTGGATGCTGTGAAGAACAGAAAAATCACTACTCCTGCTAGTAATTGAACCCTGATTCCCCCGTCATCCAGACCACAGCTCAATCAACACATAGTTAAATTCTACTATTATAATTGATTATACTTCATCAAGTATTCTCTTTAATAAATTAAATATTACTTTGTGTAACTACTGTTGTGCATTTACATCTACATCCATCAAACTACTGTTGTGAATTTATACCTAGATCCTTCATAATCTGCTTCTGCTCGAAGTATATGTTTCTCAATGAAATATAAGGATACGACAATTGTGTCTATATTAAGTAGCAGATCAGCACATGTATGTGTACAGCTTGCTTTATACTGAATACACCTCAACAAGCATCCATCTATTATGCAAGGGTAGAAAGACACACAAGAGAATAACATAAAGTCCACTTATATGATAACTGTAACATATAAATCACATTTATGTTAGATTCATAATTCTATTTTGTTAACTATCAATATGAATGAGATATTCATCAGACTTTCATACGTGTTTTGGTTATGGAATGGAGAGGTCTGTGTAGAATGACTTTAACCTTAGTATCAAGGATCAACATATTAGATATTCAATTAAAGCACATGCTTGAACATTTAAGTTTAAATAGCGTTCATTACACTAGTGTACATCATAATGAAGCAATATGTTTATATGTGAAACTAAATGAGTATAGTTTATCAAATGTAACGTTTGTCATAATGGCATTTGTTATAGTGACATTTTACTTTGCTAACTAACTGTCCTGCTTCTTGGCAACATGCTATGTGTGCATCTAAAATGTCACTGCGGGTGAGAGAAATTCCTGAAAATATAAAAAATATTGTTAATATAAGGAAGAACATTATTTTCAACAAAGATTGTTTACTGGGAGACCTGTGGCAAATTAGATAATCTGCTTGGATTTCTGACCATCAGTGCTACACTAGAGCATACAAAATTAAATAAATACACAAGTATAGGTCTCATTATGACCTATATATTTTACTGGAAACACTTCTTATGAAGAACATTTAATGAAACATAGAGAAAAACAATTTCTGATTCTGGTCTATGTGATATCTATAACATGATTAACTTCGCAACAGAGGGCTACAATAAATATATATTAAGAGCCAATGAGATACTGACCACCCCAGAGAAGCAGAGGAGAAGTTATATATATTAAAAATTGGAGTGTATTTTTCCACTCTTATATTAATTCATAATTTATTTACACCCATAAACTGTTTCACAAATACAATTTGACAAGTCAGTTTAAACCATCTAAAACAATAGAATCATCTTACGATCGTTATCCCCTTGCTGATGCTAGGAACCATTGATGATAACCCCCAACAATCCAATATAAAGCAACCTGTACTCCTATACCATCTACATACATCTGCACCACATCAGAACCAACCTGAACCACCAAACTACCGTCCATCATTGTTACTAAAACACTTCTGCAGAGAATAAAAAGTTTCGTAATAAATAACTTTTCAATTTATTTCTAAAAACTATAATTTTCTGTTATTTTTAATTCAGGGGGAAAGCTGTTACGTATTTTAATTCCCATGTTAATTTCACTTATTTTGCAATAAACAGTGGTGCATGTTTCTACATACAAATCTTGTTTTCCTTTAGTGTTATACTTGTGAATGTCGGAATAATGAGTTGTGTAAAGTATAGTAAAGTAAAGTAAAAAAGTAAAGATATCCCTGTAATAAGGCATGAAGGCCCATAGGATTGTGAGATGTTGAGGTTCCCACACTTTCTAGACAATCAGCTCATAGATGGCAGCAAGGTTGTCAGCCCTACGCACCAGCCGCCCTTTACCACCAAGAATATTCCTGGTACTCATTTCTGTGAGAGGCTGAGTCAACCCCAGGGCCACAGTGTGGCTGGAAGGATTAGGTCAACTGAAAACAAAAAAATCAACAACCTCATCGGGACTTGAACCCGCGACCTTCCAGCTTGTAGCATAGTGCCTCAACCAACTATGCTACCATGCACCCCAAATGTGTTGTGTGGAATTGTTAGATGGATGTAAACTGTAAATATGCTTTCTGTCTACACTTCACAAATACCACTAACTTAAGGTAAAAGGAACTGATCCAACTAGGTGAATATATTAAGAGGATCAGCACAATTTAACATTTCACTGTCTGGAATCAAAGGTATAACACGTTCTTTGCCTCAACCACAGCACTCGAACCAATCACTCTCATGTAACAGGCAGAACTCCTCCTTCATATATCATCACATCCCTCCCAGTTGATAATTTGTAATCACATGAATTTCAATGGGTGATGAACAAGCACTTGTTTCAATGGACATTAAATGAACCAAAACTGAACTACTACAGTGGTGTAAAGGTGTGTCAACTGTAAGAGGAAAATTTACTCTAGAACAGTGCACATTTTGCTAGAGGAATGCAAGTCTTTAAAGACACGTCAGAAATTTCATATAATTATCCAAGCCTTCCTCTCTTGTAAAAGTGACAAAAATATTTCTAAACATTTCCTTAACCCAGAAAGTATGCAAGTTTGCTGTTCCCTGTTGCTACACTCAGAAAAAAATGGAAAACATAAGTTCACCACTTCTTAGACATCCACCCACTTCTGTAATATTCTCTATTTTGATCTTCCAATTTGACATCTCTCATGTAACTTGTAGACATGATGACTGTGGATGACAAACACCTGCAAGTGTTTTAAGTGCACATACCTACTTTAAAAGGTGCATACCATTTTAAAGTATTTACTAAATGTGTCATACACAAGCTTATCAATAATTAATAAGGGTCTTCTGCATCAAGTTCCTTACTTTGGTCTGTCAGACTTGTCCAGGAGATGTGGATATGTGTATTAAATTTAAATTCTTTCAGAAATCTCTTGAAAACAGAAATGACACTGAAACATACAATTATCTCTCATTTAAATTATATTATTACCCACGGGATTACTGGTATCAAAATAAAAGAAAAATTAATTTGTGCATTTCTATGAAGGGGAGTTCTAAAGGCAACGATGAACCTGTAAACATTCTGTGGCCTTACCATTTCTAATTTCATCCATACCTGTCATGAGATTAGGGAAATTAAACATACAATCAGGCAGAGAGAAATTTCCATTATGCATGCAAAGAACATATAAAAACCCTTTTTTCAACCCTTCAGCACTTAACTGCAGAACACTTACCTGACAGGTAATCTGCTTGTTCCAGGCTCTGCCAGCTTCAATTTGCTTATGTAACAATTCAAGCTTCCCAGAGATAGCCTCTGCTGTAATTTATCTGCTCCTGTTGGACTGGATGCTCGACTGTTAGGTGCTGTCCTCTGGCGGAGCCTACTGCTACTGCCACATACAAGAACAGTCGGACTTGATGCCCGACTATTTCCGGGGCTTGAATGGCAACTTGTACCCCCTCCTCGTGGTATCTTACTTGCATGGTTTCCTTTACTGGTAGTCCCAACATCATCCAAAGAATGCAATTCTCTCTGTGTATTTCTACTGCATTCAGTTTTACTAATATCAATCATTTTGTTAACAGTCTTTCCATTTGTTGATGTAAACATCATTAATTCTTTTTGCACACTACTAGAGAGGAACTTGTTTTCTACCCTTCTTCCTTGTACTCTTGCCTGTATAGTCAACCTGTCCATATCATCCATTTCCAATGAGCTGTGTCGCCGCACTGTATGTTTCACAGTTGATGGCATAATCATACTCCGTCTCTTTACAGTATTACCAATAACAGTAACATCTGTTCCAGTTTCTCTGTCTAGTGATGTTCCCCTCTTAATTTGGCTCTGGGAATTAAATGTACTTTTACGAGTCTCTGGCCCTACAGAATGACGATTTGATGCCGCGCCTCTTTTAATCATTGGAATATCTGTATCCCCTCTCTTAGTTTGTACTACTGAATTATAACTATGCCGCTTGCTGGTAACAGTAGTTACTGACAGTTTTGCTTCACAGAGATCTTGGCTTTGTGGGTTTAACTTCTTCACAGTAAAAGTTTCCTTATGCTTTTCTGTACCATCATGCGATGCTGATATCTGTAATCTATCTAAGTAGCTGTGTCTCCTGTTCTCAGACATACTAGAATCTTTCTTTTCCTCATTGATGTCACCAGCTTTTATTTTCACAACTTTGTCTCCCTCTATGTAGCTGTGCCGTCTGTTGGTAGCTGGGACATTTACTGCTGGCTTTTGCTTATTTGATGAATTAAATTTACCCCTTGAAGTCTGCTGACCCTGATAGTCAACCTTGCCACTGAAAACTCCAGAATTACGTTTACTAATGTTACTTGGTATAAAGGTTTTCTTTGCTGTAACATTAGCAGAAACTGATGGCTTTGAGGCTGCTGTTACATTACTAGTTTTTGTGACTATTTTGTGTGCTCCACTGAACTTGGATTTTGACTCCATACTACAATTTCCAGGTTCAGGAGTCTTGCACTCTCTCTTAAATTCTTTCTGCAAAACTGACTGTGAAATATTCTGTGAATTTATACTAACAGAAGTGCTATTGTTCTTGCAGAGTATTTCACGTAAATTTGGTATCCTGGATGGTAATGGTGTGAAATCTGATGTGGTAAGCTGCTGTGGTATTCGAATTCCAGCATCGACATAGAACTCATCTTCCAAGCTGGAAACAATAAACCTTGTAGCTAATTCACAATTTCCAATTGCATGGTTAGTATCCAGACTGCAATTAATGCTGGGGTTAAATTCTTGGTACTGCCAATGTCTGTGTTGAGGATGAGGCACACCACCCAAAGCATATACTTTGCATTCAAAATTAAGTATGTCTGCAAGCTGATTATCTGAGGTACTGCAATTAGGGCCATGCATGTTAGTTGTGTCATCTCCTACAGTATTACATACCTCCCTCAAATGATTGGCACTGTCATCATTAGGATCAGAAGCATCAGCTGTGAGTTTGGGTAAACCAGCAGAAGCAATGAGGTTTTCTCGTAAAAGGCTTAGATTTTGTAAGTGCATGTCTTCATTCCCAGCTACACATTCACAGAAATCTTTACCGGATGAAGGATTTTGAGGAAATTCAAAATGAGATGCAGAACAGCACCCCAACTTATTGTGTTTTGCTAAACAGATGTAAGTTTTCTGTGCTTGTTGGGAAATGTCGTTAGTTGCAGGTGCAAACTGCCAGCTAAAATAAAAGCACACAAACCACTCATTCCAGTTAATTAACACAACATGCACCTTTGTACAGATCCAACAGTACAGAGAAGTCATATTAGTAAATATACATTATAAGCATAAGATTCTCACACCTGAAGATATCCCCAGATGTCAAATCTATAAGCAGACCAAATAACTGCACAGACTAAAGCCCATGCACAATTAATTAGTCCAGCACCTACATTTGTTAACTACAGATATCCCTCATTATAAGTGGTTTCGCTTCACATGAATTTGCTACAATGCGATTTCATTTAAAAAATCAGTACCTCAGTGTGTCATGTAACTGCAATGACACAATGTGTGAACAACTGAAAAATGGGCAAACACCACGACAATTACTGTTCACATATGCATTCTCAGCTGCACTCAGTTGTGCTTAGTTTGTCTGCAGTTGCAGGCTTGCAGCATCACAAATGACATTTTATTTTAACTCCTTAATTTTGTGCAATCCATAACTTAAAACTGATTATCATGTCCAAACATGGGAGCACTGACTGAAGTGTACTGATGACAAGCAGCAAAGGAAATCTGTTAGCACTGAGGAATTATACGTGATGTGAATGTAATGAATGGATGTCTGAAACAGCCAATGCCACAGGAATTCCTGAATCAAACTTAGGAACCATTAGTATAATGGGGATGATGACTATTAAGTTCACAGAAATTAGGGTGCCAATTATGGATAGATTGAAAAGGATGGTGGCTTAGTGGGTGGAAAATAAATACCAACATGCCATTCCTCTTTCCACCATAATCACTCACGATGGGGCAAAGAGATTATTTGACAACCTAAACAGTACTGAGACAATACATAAGTGCCACTGTTTGCTGCCGGTACCTAGACGTTCAGAACATTAAAAGGATATTACAGATTTCACAACTTTAAGGTAACAGGCAAGAATTGCTAGTCTATTGACTTGTAGCCTACCCAGCCTCATTTGGATCCTGTTTTTCACCCTCACTAGTATCCCCTAAGTCATTTGATTGTTCACAAAATGTAAATATATAATACTAATATCAAAAATAAATCTCAAAGTAAGCAGTTACTGTTAATTCTTTTTTTCATGATGGTGGAACACGTGCCTTGTCACACTGTGCAAAAATTAACTGACTTTCCAAAATTTTTCTTTATGCAGTGACTTCCAGGAATGCATTAATTGTGGGTAACAAGAGATACCTTCAGAACAAAATTAAGATTAGAGCTGCAAAAAGGATGGGAAGACAACAAGCTAGTGTCCCAGCTGAGATTTGAACCAAGCACCTCCCAAATACAAGCTTTGAATGTAACCTCTACACCAACCTGTTCAAAGTCATGACTAACTTCTACATAAGTCATAAGAGAAAGCAAAGGAAGAAAAAGGGAAGCAACTGTTTTAGAAATGTATTGGCATTACAGAGTTTCTAGTCCCAAAAATTTTAGTGAATGAGATTTATTAGCCATCTGACAGTAAGTAAAAAAGTAAAGTAAAGCTATCCCTGTAACAGGCGTTGAAGGCCCAGAAGGCTGTGAGACGCTGTGGGTCCCACATTATCTAGACAACCAGCTCAAAGATAGCAGTAAGGCTGTCAGCCTTATGCACCGGCCGCCCTTTACTCCCCAGGAAAATTATTTAATTATTTCCTGGTACTCATTTCTGTTAGAGGCTGAGTAGACCCCAGGGATATAGTGCAACCAGAGGGATTCGGTCAACTGAAAAAAAAAAATTCAATGACCTCATCTGGACTTGTAGCATAGTGCCTCAACCAACTATGCTACCACTTGCCCAGCCATCTGACAATGCTATGCTTAAAGGCCCTTGCAAATATATAAACCAACATATAATATATTTAATATTATGAGCTATGCTACAAGCCAGAAGGTCGCGGGTTCAAGTACCGATGAGGTCATTGGATTTTTTTCAGTTGACCTAATCCTTCCAGTCGCACTAGGCCCTGGGGTTTACTCAGCCTCTAACAGAAATGAGTACCAGGAATTAATTAAATAATTTTCCTGGGGAGCAAAGCGCAGCCGGCGCGTAAGGCTGATAACCTTACCGCCATCTTTGAGCTGATTGTCTAGATAATGTGGGACCATGGCTGCACCAATTTCAGTAACCTAACAATATGTTGCTTTTGTTGGGGCAGTAGGGAATCATGAGGTACCAAAAATTGGAACCACTCAGGAAGAGGATTACACAAGACCCCTGACCTGGTATCAAATATTAACAGAAGAAAACTGCAGTAATTGGAGTATGTGATTCAAATGGACTAAAACAAAAATGACAAAGAAACTTTTTGAAAATAGGCTAGAAAGTGGAATAGAAGTTGGAAAGTCGTGATTTATGACAACTGAAAGTGAAAAGATGGAGGCAAAAGAAATAAAAGAAAAGAACCGGCATCTGTCATAAAGGTCGTTGTTCTTACAGGATCACAAAACCAGCAAGTAAATAAAGCTGCATAAGGCAGTTATAATGTGTGAAGAGTGCTGGGATTGCATACCAAGCTCCAGAAAATTAGTCCACTGGTTCAAAATTTATTACAGGCCAACAGATACACATATACTTACAAACACAAACCCACAGACAATATAATACCATAAACCACCAACCAACAAGCAAACTGGTTAATTTTCTGGATGCAAATAACAATAAAAGCTGACAAATTTGGTTGCCTTCAGTCTGTATGAACATAAGCTGGACATAATCAATGAAATCCTTCATCCAAAGCATAAGCCATAGTTAACCTTTCCATGGTCTCTGTTTGTGGTCATCAGTCGTCATTGTCGTCATCATCATCATTGTCGTCGTCATCATCATCATCATCCAGTCGTCATTGTCGTCATCATCATCATTGTCGTCGTCGTCATCATCATCATCATCATCATGTCGTCATTGTCGTCATCATCATCATTGTCGTCGTCGTCATCATCATCATCATCATCATGTCGTCATTGTCGTCATCATCATCATTGTCGTCGTCGTCATCATCATCATCATCATAAAACTATATTTTCAGTGGTAATTTAAATATTTATGCACCTAGTAAATAAATATTTTAGGAATATTAAATTCTCATATTTAGCATAACTGAGATGACATACAAATACTGTATTTATTTTCACCAAAAGTAAAAATGTTAAAGCAAACACAAATATCTGAGAATGGTTCAGGAAATGCCAAAAATTACTGCAATCTCCATTGCCATCATAGATCTAGCAACAAACTAATATTCAAGCATCTATTAGGTCATAGACAGCAGCCAAAACAATATGACATAAAACAGAATGACCCTTCTGAATCACTTGTACAGTGGTCAGTGAAAACAGGCAACCACCAATTCAACTTAATATTTAATCACAGAAGAATGACTTTTGTTTGCTATGGTAAATCAACCTGCTTCCCTCCCAGGTCCACAAAATTTCACTTCCCAGAGCCATCGAGATTAAAATGAGTTACACATGTAGATTATCATGAAAAAAATCCTTCTAAAATGCAGTGTGGCAAATAACATGTAACTTTAAAAAAAGCTGCAGTAATGGGAAAATATAACTGCTGACTTCAGCTACAGGATATACATGTATTATAAGACAATCAACTGATGATAAAGTGTGATCATTTTACAATTAGAAACCTCTAAGTTAGCATGTTGGTTCAAGTGATTGCACTTCTGACTTTATTCATGAGTTGCATGGTTTGAATCTCACCCAGGACACAACCCTGAGACTGTTCACAGTTTTCCTCACTACCTCCAAGCAAATGTCAGGATAGTACCTTAAAATTAGGCCACAATTGCTTCCTTCCAAATCCTTTCCAATTCATTATTCACTAATCATTCTATCATTGAGCACTATGCAGCATCAAATACTGACATCATTGTTAAATGATGATGACGATCATGATGATGATAGAAAAATAAAGACCTCAACATATATTTAAACAAAACACACGTATCAAATTATTATGACAAAATAAACAAAGGTTAACATGAAGTTACTTTTATGCACACTGTAAACAAAAAAATCAGATTTACATGATGCATCATCCATAACCCTTACTGTTGTGTAGTTTTGTGTGCTGTGCTTTGTTCAAGAGTGGCGAGTTATTTTGTGTTGTCTTATTGTATTACCACTGCCATGGGGTAAAAACCCATTGGCAGTCAAATAAATGATGATGATGATGGTGATGACGATGATGATGGAATAACACATGCATGCAGTTTCTTGTACTAGTGAGTGATATTATCTTCTCAAGGACTAGTTGTACTATAGAGTTACTTTTAAAGGATTAATATTATTACAAGACATGAAAAATTTAGAAAAAGAAAAATTACACTGACTTCTTTGGAAAATTGAGATTATCACCAAATGACATGCAATGGATGATTATACAGAAAATACTCTGAATTATTTATTTAAGATTACTTTATTAACAGACTTCAGATATCCAATATAAATTATGTTAGACTTGAAAGATTATATTTAAATAAAACTAATATAAAAATCTTACGCTATTACTAATTTTACAATAGTATGTCTATATCTTAATTACTGACAATAAAATAAAATCTCACACAATAACTATCAGTAAGTAATGGTGGTATCAAGTCTCACTTTACTTTCTTCTTATCAGTAATAAGTCTTTTATACATATATATCAATGCCTCAAAATAATTCCCAATGAATTCATTTGGAGAAATGTGGTGTTGGAGAAGGATGGAGAAGATCAGTTGGACCGATTATGTGAGAAATGAAGAAGTGTTAATTAGAGTCAGTGAGCAGAGGAATATCCTACATGAAATAAGAAAACGGAAGGCTAATTGGATTGGTCATGTTTTACGCAGAAACTGCCTTCTGAAAGAAGTTATTGAAGGAAAGATAGAGGGGCGGATAGAAGTGACCAGAAGACGAGGAAGAAGACGTAAGAAGATGCTGGATGACCTTTGGGACAGAAGAGGATATTTTCATTAGAAGGAGAAAGCTCTACATCGCATCAAGTGGAGGAACTGTTTTGGAAGAGACTGTGGACCTGCCGTCTGACAGATTACTGATGATGATGATGATGAATTCATTTATTTAAAATAATGATCACTCTATCCTTCCAACTTCTGGTCATATTTCACACAGTATAAGGAACCTAACACTACAGATAAAAGTATTTGCATACCTTTGCATTGCGCTCTTATGTGGAACACCACCAAAAACTAAAACCAAAATAAACATAATTTGTTAACATTATGATGCTTCTCAACACTACAACAAGCAATAAAATCCAATTATGAAACGGCATTCATAAAGTGAACTATTACTACAAAAACATGGTGGACTTGAAACTACTTCTATAAAAAGTACTTTCTTTTCTATTGAAAACTGGTGAAATCTTTTAATGCAAAGTGGTTAATTAACTGTCAAGCTCTGTGTAAAGTCACTGTAGTAATTCCTGATTTACACTTCTTTCTTACAGCAATTCTCTTCTTCATTTCTACCACCCAATTCCCTGTATTACTCAGTTAATGTATCTGCCAACCAATCAATGAATTTCTTTACAGAAATTGCATCATACAGCCCAATGCAGTAAATCTAGTTCAGATTTCTGTCAAGAAACCACCTCCTTTCTCTACTTCCAGTTCATATTAATCTACTGGGAATGTTTAACTGTACCCCCTCAGGGCAATCACAGTGGGTCATGCACATTTATCATAGAGGTTACACAATGTTCAGACCATTAACACTTACATGTTGTTGGGTGTTGGAGGCTTGTCCTGATTGGGCTTGATGTAGGTATACTGTAAAAAAAAACATTAGCTATGACATTGTTAATGACAAGCCAATACCATGTTCACCTTACTATAGGAAAAGATTTTATTACCTTAGTTTTATTATAAACCCTTATATTCTCAAATGAAGAAATATGTAAAAAAACATATGCAGTTCAAAAGATTCTCAAATAAGATACATCTAGACCTGTGGCATTATCTTGATACTTTCAATAAAGAAGTATCACATTCTTATGAACATACTTAAACATCAACTGTTATATTTCGCAGCATACTTCCATGTAATTTGTCCATATTCAGACCCCGACATAGGGCCTATTCTACAAGAATTAGAAAATGGCGAACAACCAAAATGGCAGGATATTGCAGATCGGAGTCCCAAGTACAAAAGCTACTGGGCCCAGTGGAAATCGCTCGCTGTGAGAAACGGCGTACTAGAGCGCGACTGGGAATCCACCAACAGAAGACATCAAGTAGCCCAGATAATTATTCCTCGGAGCAGGGTGAAGGACGTTCTGAGCAAACTACACAGTGGACGGTCAGAAGGTCACTTCAGTGTCAACAAAACTCTGAATAAGGTTCAGCAGATATTCTACTGGCTCCAAGCAAGAACTTATATTGAGAAATGGTGTCGACAGTGTGACACATGTGCATCCAATCGGGGACCACGGACCAGGAATTGTGGGCAAATGCACCAGTATGTCGGGGCTCCCTTCGAGAGAGTAGCCACTGATATAGCAGAACCCTTCTCACGAAGCGACCAAGGAAACCGATACCTACTGATCACTATGGACTACTTCACCAAGTGGCCGGAAGTGTACGCCATCCTGAATCAGGAGGCTTCGACAATAGCGGAAGTTCTGGTTGCCAACTTCTTCTGCCGCTTTGGCATACTTCGGGAGCTGCACAGTGACCAAGGCCGTAACTTCGAGTCTCATCTACTGCAGGAAGTTTTGCAACACCTGGGAGTGAGCAAGACGCGCACCACACCCCTGCACCCACAGTGGGATGGCATGGTGGAACACTATGTCAAGACCACCGAGGAGCACTTGTGAAAGGTCGTCGCATCCCACCAAAGGGACTGGGATGAGAGGTTACCCCTCTTTCTCCTAGCTTACAGGGCATCCACTCATGACACTATGGGCTTGAACCCTGCTAGCCTAGTGTTCGGATGAGAACTACGACTACCCTGCGACCTGCTGTTTGGAGTACCTCCAGACAAAGAACTACCCACAACCGATTATGCTGCAGACTTGGTGGATCATCTGCACGACATCCACAATTATGCCCAACAACACCTGAAGATCACCAGTGACCGGATGAAAACTCAGTACGATAAACTGGCCAACTCCGCAGGTTATGACGAAGGCGACAGAGTTTGGCTCTACCACCCAATGCACAGGAAAGGGAAATCGCCGAAACTACATGCATCCTGGGAAGGTCCTTACAAAGGAGTGACCCGGATAAATGATGTGGTATACCGAATCCAGAGGACCCCTAGGTCGAGGATGTTGGTTGTACACCTGGACCGGCTCGCGCCTTATCATGGAGCTGCTCGAGACGAGCAACCATAAAAAGGGGGAAGATGTAGCGGTTGTAACGGCCGGGGAACAGATGCTGCAAGAACAGCCTCCAAAGCAAAGGAACGGGGGTGCACCGTTAGGCTATTTGGGACGAACAGCCTTAAGGAGGGAGCAGTGTGACATGTTGCACAATGGAGGACAACCCCTCCCTACCCAGCAGTGACATGGCAACTCTGGCCACAGTGACGTGGCAGATGAGTCAGCACTCCGTCCCCCCCTCCGCGGTGACGTAACGCGCAACGCCGTAATTGCTACGTACCCATAAACAACTTCAAACAGCGTTGCTATGTAAGAGGCAAACACTGCGACTATATAAGAGAGCTGCACTGCCTGTGAGGGAGTTGAAATGTGGCCTTCACCGAGTTCAGTTGTCGCAGTTAGTTAAAGTGTATCAGCAGCCGAAGACAGTTCTCCAGTCAGCAGTGAACGAGTAAAAGTGTGATAATCAGTGACAGTTTGTAATAACTGAGAATTCATTGGGAGTGCGTAACACAGTGACACTTGTATAGCTCCCGTACTGTGAAACGTGTAGACTACTGACAATAGAGTGAATTGAATATTGCGAATAGGGTTATAAAGTGTGAAACCCCGCAACTTTGTTATAATTAATTGTAGCCATTACTTGTAGGTTGTTAAATAAACCAATTAACAATCCGAACGGCGTCTTCAGTAACGAAACACGTTACAATATTAAGAAGTGAAAGCTTTACACTGTATGTATGGCATTTTTAAACCAAGTCACACTTCTGAACAATCAGCTCATGATAAGCTAGCAATGAGGTCACACTTCACATCAGTGCCAAGAATAACAGCAAAACCAATGTGTGTGTAGAATATGAAATACAGACCTCCTCCAGCTCCCCACCCCAAGTTGCCTGATTTGACCACAGAAGACTACATGGATGATCAAGTGCATTGGGCTCCCACAAATCCATATGAACTGTGATCAGCGACCGTCGCAATTTGCCACACTTAAAATAGAACACATTGGATACTGTCCACATTATGTGATGATATTACACAGAACAGTAGCAAAAGTAAAAAATATACTGGGGAAAATATCTAATATAGTGCACTGTTTCATTTTATAGTTCTGTTCATTTTTGTTATGTGATTGTTCAGAAGTGACCTAGTTTAGAAATGCCTTTTAGTTAAATTTTTCTGCACAACTAGTCCTATGAACTTTGAATTATGATCTCAACTATTATTCTTTTCTCTTTCTAACAAAGACTCATATGTAAAATTGTGTAATAAAAAAGGGAATATCACGTTTGCACCAGACTACCACAAAAACAATGATAAAAAACAGAAGATATTTAATCTGTATCAAACTTTCTGTGAGAAAATTTCAAAAACTCCTGTCCACACAATTGATGGTGCCCTATCAGCTCTTCTCTTGGAAGCTTTAGTATCTATGAAACACTTAATGTTCTCTCACAAAGGCATCTCTGTGCTCTTGCCATGGTAAGCACCCCCCTATTTCTGACTATCCAACTTTATGTGTTACTTTAACCAAACAAGTAAAAACAAACTAACTATATGGTACAGGGTCTTCCTTAAATAGATGACAGTTGTTCAGCTGGTCTACAAATTCTCTATTATGGAACCAAAAGTTCATTACCTTGATGAGAAATGCTCACCACACTGAACCATATCATGAACCGATTCAATTCAAATCACATTTTCACAATGTATTTACCTAACTTCCTTTTGCAGCATGTTGTCATGCCTTATTATATTCAGTTCCCTCAGTTCCTTTCATCTGTCTACATCAAATAACTACGATAGTTTCAGAGTGGATAATTTTCAGTCCAGTGTGACTCACAAGTTTACAACACTTCAGTCTTTTTCACCTTACATGTTTTGATTCAAAAGAATCATCCTCAGAGGCACACCACTACGAGCAGGAAACACTGTCACATAAGATGTTTTAACCATATGCACTTAAGCTATGAATAATGCTCACTACATAAATTTGTTGTTATCACAGTTGGTTTTGGTGTTTGTCCCAGGCATTCACGACGGCGCTTCTTGAAGAGTAGATTTCCGTATGACGTTGTTTCTTTTAAGCGTATTTGCTGGGTATTCTGACTGGGATTTTCCACTGCACGCGATGTGATATTCACTTTTTCATACATTAGCCTCCCAACGTATTTAAAATTGTATTAAAATTTTGCATGTAAAAAATTAGTTATTATGTTAAAATATCGTGAGCCGACATTGGGTCATGTTGTTTTCTTCCTGATGGTGGGAGATGTCGTTTATTTCTCTTGATTTTATGTTCTTATTATTAGTTGTGTAGTTTACGTGCGTGCTGTGTCGGCTCACGATATTTTAACATAATAACTAATTTTTTACATGCAAAATTTTAATACAATTTTAAATATATTGGGAGGCTAATGTATGAAAAAATGAATATCACATCGCGTGCAGTGGAAAATCCCAGTCAGAATACCCAGCAAATACGCTTAAAAGAAACATCATATGGAAGTCTACTCTTCAAGAAGCGCCGTCGTGAATGCCTGGGACAAACACCAAAACCAACTGTGATAACAACAAATTTATGTAGTGAGCATTATTCATAGCTTAAGTGCATATGGTTAAAACATCTTATGTGACAGTGTTTCCTGCTCGTAGTGGTGCGCCTCTGAGAATGATTCTTTTGAATCAAAACATGTAAGGTGAAAAAGACTGAAGTGTTGTAAACTTGTAAGTCAAACTGGACTGAAAATTATCCACTCTGTAATTAGCAGTGTGACGGACCAAAATGAGACAAATCAGAATACAATTGTTTCATTGAATTTTCACCAGCATCAGGCCACTTGAGTGTTAAAGTGTACAAACATTTGATAAATGTAGGATTTGAGGTTCTCACAGTGGTGGTTATGGATAGCTCTATCTTCTGGCATATAATAACACCATGCAGTCTGATTAAAGTCAAATGACGTTTCAGCGAAACATTTTGCCTCCTTCTTCAGGGTTCAAGAGTACACCAGGTCAAAAACCAGCATGAAGAGGGCAGCAAGCAAACAAGCTACAAGGCATTTATCCAAGAAGATATGCAATGCTCACTTTCATGTTTTCATACTAAAATGATCTACCAATGGCATAAGTCACCAAAATATTTAACTATTCCAACTATTTTGATTAATATGGTTGATGTAAACAGATGCAAAGAAGTAAAATAACTTCATTAATTATGTAAGATTAATTTTAATATTATTGTGTCAACTGCACACGTCTCTCAAGAGATCTATATTTCCCAAACAACACTTTTTATGCATGATTTGAGTCCCCATGTATGTTACATGCCCTACCAGTATTATCCTCCTTTATGTAATTATATTATATTACATCACCTTAAAAAATTATTTTATTAATATTACCCACAGAGAAGCAGACATTACAAATACTCACTTTGATGAATAGTTCTTTTTTTCTGCCACAGAAGGAACTGGTGGACTTTTAAACTCAATAAACCCTGAAATTAAATATAAATTTTCTTCTCATTCACTACAATTATGAGACCAGCATGCCCTCCTAGCTCCAGTTCATCAGTTACAACAATAAAAAGTAAATTCACATTCTCTTCAAGACATGTATCAGGCTTAACATTTTTCGTATATCATGTACCTATACAGAAAATGGAGTATTCACAAAGACATAATAAATTATAATAGATTTTCCCATTTCTTTGTTAACATAAATCTTAGCAGTTCAGCAGAACTCACATGCTGGATTTACATACCTGTGAAACCAGTAAACTATCTTGTGGGACTTTGCAGATATAATCAGTAAACTACAAGTATAAAAACAAGACAAACTCAGACCTTTAATAAAGTCTAATATATGAAATTTGTCATCAAATGAGATATTCACTCATAATTCATCAATTCCTCCCGCCCAATATATATAGAGGGTTCCAAAAAAATGTACTCCTTGATAGTCAATATCTTTGGAACAAAATGACATGTAGTTACAATTCTTGGGCGGAGAGAGAGAGAGAGTCATTGTATGTGACCATAATCAGCAGCTAAACAGCGTCAATGCTGCCGAACTGCTGAGCAAACTATGACTGTCAGTGTGTCCAGTGTGATGGCTGCACACGACGCTTCAATGGTTTCTTGTAGTGTGTTCAGCGTAGCTGTCTTTTGTCGATAAACTAAATCCTTCATAGGTAGAAACTGAGAGATGTTAGGTCTGGAGACCGTGGTGGGTACTCAATAGCACCTCTTTGACCTATTCATCGTCCAGGTAGAATGTCATCCAAGTATGCCCTGACTTCTCAATGGTAGTACACTTGATCGGCTTACCCCACTTTCACGTGCACACTGATTCACAGATTTTTGTGCTGATCATATAAAGTGTTGCAACACCACAGCACTGGAAGGTGGACTTGTTACTATCCGTGGTCGCCCAGATCTTTGCTTATGCACATCATGAACAGTACCATCAACTTCAAATTTATCCCAAATACGGGCAATTGTTCGACATGTTGGTGGCTGAGTTCCAAACTCATTCTGCCATTGTTGTTGTACCTCTTTAATGTTTTCTTACTTCCAGTACAACTTCAATACAGCCTTGCACTGCTCAAAGAACAACCTTTCAGCCATTACTGCTGCTGTCTTCTGCTCGTAGTGCGCACGCGGCACGACACTCACATGACTCATGTGACCTTCACCATCTGTTGAGAAAACATTACACTACACTACCACGCAAGAATTGTAACTACATGTCATTTTGTTCCAAAGATATTGACTATCAAAGAGTAAGTAGTTTTTTTTGGGCCCCCCCCCCTGCATATATAGACACACGAGGTACTATCAGAAAGTCCCCGGACTAGGTCAAAAAAGGAATGCTGGCTTTATTTTCTCAATTTTGGCTGCCATCTCCTTCAGAACAGTCTCCTTGGGAATGTATACAGCAATCCCATCATTTTCTCCATGCTTCAAAAGCACATGGAAGTCACTGTCCTTTGTTGAGTACCGCTTGCAATTTCCTTTGGATGTCAAGACACTGTTTCAAAACACTGTCCCTTCAGTTTCATTTTCAATTTGGGTAACAAAGCAAAATCATAGAGTACGGAAATCCATCGAGTAGGGAGGATGGGGAATGATAACCATGTTGTTGTTAGTCACAGACTCTGTGGTTTTCAGGGATGTGCAGGCGGGCGCATTGTCATGATGAAGGAACATAGTAGTGCACGTTCAAATTTCGGCAAAGATCTCCTGGTAAATTACATAACTGATCCCAATGATGTCTGCAAACTTATGGATTGTTCAGCGATGGTCTTCATGGATGAGTTCTCAAATTTTTTCCAACATTTTCTGTCGCTTTGCATGTGCGTCATCTTCAACTGACACTCGGCCGGCCTTAAAACATGAACACCATTCAAAAACTGCTGTCCAGCTTAAAGAATGTTCTCCAAAAGCCTCATGAAGCATTTCAAGGGTTTTGGTAGCAGATTTACCGAGCTTCATGCAAAACTTGATGCAGACACATTGCTCGATTTTGCCATCAACTGCAGACAAAATGAAACACGAAATTGAAAAACAATGCATGCTCAAATCATGATGTCTCAAGGTAGACTGATGCAATAGGCTTGCGTAAGTGTGACCTTGGCCTCCACGTTCATCTTCTTTAACCGAGGCAGTTACAACAATAACAGTCCAGGAATTTTCTGATAGCACCTTGTATATATATTACTGCATGGCAAAGTGCACAAAACTTTTCACACCACTATCCTCAAACACGTGCAGATACAATATAGACCGACTCAGCATGTGTAAGTGAAATAAATGACATCTGTCGAAGGTGAAAGTGCTGCTTTCCAAAAATTGGTGGAGCTTCTGAACTATCTCGTGGAACAATCAGCAGTATGAAAGGGATATTAAAATGTTCTGTTAGGAAAGTCTGTATCATATAAATTTATAGCAAATTTGACACTTAAATCTTATCTTTAAATATACATACATACACATGTCCATGTGTATGAAGTGTAGCTAAGCAGAAACCTTCCTAAGTGATACATACTCAGCTGTGTGAAGAGCAGAACAAAATGTAAGCTTGCATTATCACATTTGGGTTCTGAGATTTTTCCCTTGTGGCTCGCACTTCCAGCAAAAATGACATATCTAACATATTTTGGTCACTGAAGCTGGTTCTAAAATCATCAAAATAGGCGTGATTCAAGTTTTATGTTGTAAGATTTGAGGTTTTCACAGCGGTGACTATGAAGAGAGCAGTCTTCTGGGATGTGGCTCTGTGTAGATGTGTTAACTGACGTTTCAGAGGAACGTATCATCTACAAGCTTGTACCGGTTCTCACGGTCTCTTCACTTGTGGATTCCTTATTTTTCCTTCTACCCTGAAGATGGAGGTGATACATTCTTCTGAAACGTCGGTTAACACCACATCTACATGGTGCCACATCCCAGAAGACTTTCTTCAGGTTTTATGTTGATCGTACTCTGTAGTAACCACAAGGAAATTTACTTTAGAGAAGCTTAAACTGTTTATTTTCAGCAGTATGAGAAGAAAAACTTTTACATAATAAGTCCAAAAATGTTGAACACACTAAACCAAACCATATGTTATGCAAATGTAAATCTATATAACCTCTTCTAAATTGCTGTTGCAGTACATATCTGAATGAGTAACTAAAGTCACTACAAATTCCCCAACCTAAGGCAAAGAACTTACGTCTCTTTAGATCTGTCTGACCCACAAATTTTCGTTTGCCTAATGCTGACACAATTCCAGATAATTTTGTTTCTTCATCAGCTTTTCTTTGATCTTCTATATCTTCCTTTGATGCAGGAGGTTGACTGCCAATCTGTAAATCATATTCACATTCTGTTCTTTTGGCTTGGACATAATATCTACTCTGACTGAGGTTCTACAATTTCTTGTGTTCTTCCTCATTTCCCCCTTACAAATTCCAAGGAAATGCATTAAAATTGGCATTAAAATCAAAAAAGAAACAAACAAATACACAAATAACACAGGTCTGCAACCAAAAAACTGCACAGGATATTTTTGCTGTTTCTTATAGATCTTTACTCACTAAAACGGGAAATAGTAGTAAAAAAAATCCTTCACGTCAATTTTTTTTTTTTGCAAAACTCATATTCTTAGTTTAATTTTGCATGAAATTTCTCTTCAATATGAAATCTGGTATCCTATTGTTGATTCTAAAAACCATATCCAATAATTATTTCTTACTTTAAAATATTTATGAGAGTGAATCTAAAAAATAATACAAATAGAAAATGGGTGGGATGGTGGGGAGGTGGAAGGGGTTGGTAGGGTGGGTCTGGCGGTGTGAGGAGCTCAGGGGATCATGTCCCAACACGTTTACTTTGTTTGTAGCGAAAGGTGAGGAATCTTACTAGCTCGGTTGAGCATGTTTGGACATGTTCTTTGGGGCAATAGGAATGAGTATAAACAAGCCTGATGTCAGATTTAATCATGTCTCAACATGCTAAATAAGTTCAGGATCTCGGATGATGTATAAGCCACTCAGTTTACATCCTGCATTCAAACGTGACTGTGCTTGTGTTTTAGTTCTGTATTATGGCTGAAAGAGGTTGTGTTATTTCTCCGGACAACTTTTGTTTTATTTGTGGTGAATACACAGTTAAAAGTCAACAAAGAGATATAAGTGATTTTGTGAAGAAAGTGTATTTTGCTTATTTCAAATTGAAACTTGGGGATCAAGACAAACCTTGGGCTCCTCACAAGGTGTGCAGAAGGTGCGAGGAAGATCTTTGTTTGTGGTTTAAGGGTAAGAAACACTCATTTCGTTTTGGCATTCCTATGATGTGGCATGAACATCAAAACCACATGACTGATTGTTATTTCTGTTCAGTAGATGTGAAAGGCTTTAATACAAAAAATAAAAAGAAAATATCTTACCCATACCTTAACTCTTTGACTGGCGCGAAGGGTATTTAAATCCCACCCCTGTCCTGGCAGGCCCTTTAAACCCTATGTCGCTAAAATGCATGTAGTTACTTTTTCCTAAACAACTTCAACAAAAATTGGTTTTTAAAAACGAAATTTTTAGGAACTAATTAAAATACAATATTTTATGCAATAAATGCTTTTCCACACCTCTTTATTTGTTTTTCTTCGTGTGATAAACATTGAAACATGAAAGTTTGCAGAAGAGCCACACCACAGCCTGCACACATGATACTTGTTTCTTTTCTAATCTTGTGCTTAGCACTCACGCGACACTTTCTCAGGGCACCATTCTTCTTGTTACTGGGAGGAACATGGACCATTTTGTGAATTTTCAGGCCTCCCTCTAGATGATTTACTGGCTCTTTCACTGGTGGTCTTTTCAAGGTCGAGGGGGGGAGGCGTGACTGCACTCGAGTCTGACGCAATAGATTCGTCATCCACTTCATTCCTTGAATCTTCTCCCTCTCCACACTGTTTGTTTGGTTCAGTCATTTTTCTACACAGTCCAATATTAAATCTTTGAATTTGTAATTTCTCTTCTTGTATTTTTCGTTTGTTGTGTTCTTTTTGAATAGAATGAAACTATTCAACCGCAAAGAAATTTTTTGTCCATACCATGGAGTGTGAAATAGGGGCCTAGTGGACCAATATTCTTCAATTTCAGGGCATTTGTCGATTCCTGTCATGAACACAATTCCTAAGTATGTCCAGATTTCATCTGGTGTGACATATTTGTAATTGTGTTCTCAAGAGTGAGGAGCTAACTCATGTGTGTTGAAGTGCTGGTGAGCATAGCGATTGGTTTCAGTTGTGATGTGATTTACCAAGTCGTCATCCAGAAAAAATTTTAATCCATGAAAAGGGATGCATTTTATGTGTTATATCAATTTTGATCCCGAAACTATTAGCAAATGGAAATATTGGGGGTACAATGTCTCCGTACGTTCATGAGATGGGCGTGTCAGGCACCGCACTCGTGGTAGGTAAATGTTCATGATTACTGTCTTGTGGATCATTGTCTATCACTGTATTATTGTCACTAAAAACTTCATCTAATTCAGGAATCATTATTTCATCGCCACTATCATCATCAGCACAAATCTCGTTCACAACATTTTCCAGCTGGTCTGTAGGAACACGAAGACACTTGCTGCGAGAAGCCATGGTGAAACTGAATGAATGTGAAATATTTTCTGACCTTTTCCTTCTCAGAGGGTTCTGACAGTAATATAGACCCCCACAAAGTTTACAAGGGTTCTTTACAAACATGCACAAAAACTATCATATATATGTCTTTGGTTGATGAGTGCCAAGAGAGCAAAGAAGGGAAGAGATTGTCAAAGCGTTAAAACACGCCAACGCCAGGGAATGCCTGGCATCATTCGGGCGTTAAAACACGCCCACGCCAGTCAAAGAATTAATTCAGCTATTCGTCCAGTGCCTCATAGCTCTGAAATACCAGTTCCCCTCCCACCTTCCAGTCTGGATGATATACAGAGTGATTCGGAGGACAGAACTATATTACCACCCCATGATGAATCCAGCTCAGATTTTTCTGTTGATGAGGGACTCCAACCTTTTTCTCAGAGTGAGCTCAACGACTTAGTTAGAGATTTAAGCCTTTCCAAAGATGCAGCCGAATTGCTAGGGTCAAGACTAAAAAATAAAAACTTGCTGTATGATCAAGCGGGAAACGGAAAGTGAAACTGTGTTTGGAGAAGCATCAAAGAGAAGAAGAAAAGGTTTCAGAGGCAAAAAGACTGAACACGGAATGTTAAATATATCATGAAGGAATTGTTTGTTTAATTATGAGAAATAATTTGTTTAGTTCAATGTAATAAAATTAGTGATTTTTTTCATTGCTGTTATGATTTTTTATTGTAAACCCCTATTATTTTCCAAAAAACCGTACATGATAGGGGGAAACTGAGGTCATTTCTGGATTCAGCATCCTAGAAAACATAAAGTTTACCAAAAATATTCCATGCAGCTGAAAAAAAAAAATTTTTGCAGACTGTGTAATCACTCAATCACTGAATTATTACAATGTCAGAGTAAAAACATGGATGTACAAAAATAAAACCAATTCAAATGCTTGATGCCTACAGCACAGACTAACTGCTGATAGAGTTCAAGTACGATAACATAGGATGACCTCCCATTCATCAAACTATTTCAGCATTTTGATTCTGCTTCCATTCTTGCAAAGTTTAACAAGAAATTTAATGTTTATTCCAACATTCTCATGGCAGCACACCAAAACACCCTCAGACAATAATAGACGCCACTCAGAAAGAGACTGCCATGGATCAACAACACAGTTGTGAAATGCTGATATGCTGACATCATCGAGCCATACTGCAGTTCCTGTCCACTGCTGCCATGGCAAACCATGGCGAGTTCACAAACTTTATTGTCAGACCATGTAAGTGGTCTCTGTCACCAGACTTAAATCCAAATCTACGCGACTCTCTCCTGTAGAGATATCTCAAGGACAGAGTGTTCAACACTAAATATCGCACAACTGATGATTTCAAAGATGCAACATAACAAGTGGTGCATTTTATCCTCACAGAAATTTTGAAAGCTGTTCTACAAAACCTCTTCTTTCAGCTTTGATACATCACCTCCAATAGAGAAGGGCACACTAAGGACTATATTTCCTATGAAGACAGTAATTTCAAATACAATGACACATGTACAACCATTTTATTTCTGTGACAAAATGAATGATTTGAAGAATAAAAAATCATCATTGTATACTAAACAATATACACTGTCACACAACAACTATTAAGGACTCTGAATTTTGGCCATATTATATCACTGTTTACATCACAGTTGTACACCTTTAAACCACTGGAGGGACATCTATCATAGCCATACTGATAAAAATAAAAACCTACTGTAGAAGGCATGATACAACAAATATTCAATGACAGAAATATTCATACTTACAGCATTCATAAGACATAACTCCTGCTTACCACTTTCTCATAAATGGTTCATTATATTACAAAAGGCTATTTTTCGTTATTGGGAAGCACTCTTAACCCAGTGCCCAACTAAAGGACCTTCCTTGTTTGATGTCCAGAAAATAATATACACTGCACATAAACTATTATTTGCTACATGCAAACTGTATTCCATGAAATGGACACACTAATCTATCTCATGGATCAAATTGTAACCTTTTACATAACATACAGATCCTTTGCTACTGACTGGATGGTCGGAAATTTATGTTCTCATATTCTGGATCTTACCACTTCCACTTGAACTTCTATAGCATCCAAGGCTTCTATGGTGAGGTTTAACTGTGCTTTCACATCTCGATCCTTTTCATTGATTGACAGGTTGCGAATATGTGCTTCCAATGATGTCAACAGTTTGTGATCTCCTGGTAGACATAGCATAGACTTCAGCTTTGGGAACATCATGACCACTGTCAGTCGAATATTGGGAACCTGATCATCTGCAAAGTTCCAAGCACTAAAACTCAAAAGTAGGAACTCTTTTTAAAACAACATACATATGAATTAGATATGACATTATACCTCAAGTGAAGCATTTATATGTGATGCATAATTGTAAGTTTTTTGAATGTATGATGAATCTTTGATTGCTAAGTACCAAAGCAAGTAACTTCAAGATTCAGGAGGTCCAGTGTCTTTAAAACCTATCAAGTTCAGTGTGCAAAAATCTGTATCACATGCAAGCAAATTACATTTTGAAAGTATGTTCCATTTGAGTCTGTAGGTGTGGTTCACTACATTTCCAATATCACAACGCAATGGGAGTCATCCATTTTGACCTAGCTCCAAATGACTATGGTAGTTCCATCATTACATCCCTAGATTTTGGCACACCTAATCTATTTACAAATATTTTTTCAATTTGTGGTGAAAGCCAGCAACCATGTACACGTATATGTAGCACATAACATTAAAAATTCATGTGTGTGGAAGATAAAAATTACTACACCATAGTAGTAAATACGAGGGGCGTTCAAGTTCTAAGGTCTGCGATTTTTTTCTCAGGACTGGGAGCAGACAGACAGATGCGGTTTAGTTTAAAATACGTGTGCACTCTTTGTGAATGCGTGACAGAGATGGCAGCACTCTATGGCACACAGAACTCTAGTGGTAGCAGCGAGAGTGAGGAGTGTTTTTGATACTTAAAATGGCGACGTTTTCGTTACAAGAACAGCGAGTAATCAGTTGTTTTCTCCACTTGCGTGGTGCGACACCCATTGAAATTCATGGCCAGTTGAGTGAGACGTGTGGTGATGGTGTCATGAATGTGAAAAATGTGCGTTCGTAGGCACGACAGCTCAAAGAAGGCCGAACGTCGTGTGACAATGAACCAAAACAATCTCGGCCTCGCACCAGCCGTTCTGACAACATGGTCAAGCGAGTTGAGAAAGTTGTTTTGGAGGATCACCGATTGAGTGTGGAAAACATCACCTCCAAAGTTGGCATTTCCGTGGGATCTGTGCATAAAATCCTGCATAAAGACCTGTGAATGCGGAAAGTGTCCTCCACGTGGGTGCCACGAATTCTGGCGGATGACCACAAGGCTGCACACATGGCAATTTGCCAGGCGATGTTGACATGTGATGAAGGCATGAATAGGACTTTCTTTTCATCAACTCTGACAATGGATGAGACATGGTTGCCATTTTTCAATCCGCTATTGCATCAGCAATTTTCCAGTGGTCAAAACAGACTCCTACAGAAGCGTTCGCAGCGGCCATGGAATCATGGCGTTGACGTTGTGAAAAATGTGTACGGCTGCAGGGAGATTACGTTGAAAAGTGACAGAGGTTTCAAATTTTTTGTATGATTATTGTGTGAGAAAAAAAATCGGAGACCTTAGAACTTGAACACACAATGTAGTAAATTATGAAATCATCTACAATGTTCAGGGAGCTAGGATAGCATAGTTGGCATAGCAACTGGCTACGGACTGGATGACTGAGGGGTGGGAGTTAAGGAGTACTGGTAGGGTCAAGAATTTTCTCTACTCCACGTCATCCAGACTGGCTCTGGGGCCCACCCAGCCTCCTATCCAGTGGGTACCGAGGAGGGCTATTTCCCTGGGGGTAAAGCAGTAGAGGCGTGAAGCTGACCACTCACCTCCAGCTAGTGCAGAGGTCAAGAAAACGTGGATCTATACATCCACTTCTCCCTACACTGATTAATTAGTTAAGCACAGGGACAACTTTACCTTTACCTTCTTACCTTTCTACAACATTCATGTTCTGCCAGATCTCCAGACATGTCAATCATGATACAAATCACATAAAATGCAACTAAACCTAACGAGATCAAATATACATTTTAATTAAACAATATATTAACCAGAATACACAGCAGATCTGTCAAAATACCACAGCCCTCAGAGAAGATTCCTGATTAAGAGACTGCATGGAAAATGGATTACATATGAAGACTCAAGAACAGGGCCTCTTACATCCTTGAAGCCAACTGGACATCTTTGTAGAATAATGGTAAGGATATTGTGAAATGATGTCTGAAAGCCGGAGTAGCAGAGCCAGAGTAGACGTTCATTGCTATGCAACAACAGATTCCCATGGCAACAAAAGAGCAAGCAACAATTGAAGTACTGTTCAGCTATTATAGAAACAGTGTTTTCTGTTGGAGCTACCCCAAGGCTACATAATGAGGAACCCAGACCAGCTGAGATATAATTGAGAGAGTATCTTTGAGACAGCAGTCGAAGATAACGGAGAAGAGATGGCAACGAGTTACGTGAGTTGCATGAGTGCAGCTGTGGAAAGAAGACTTCATGTGTGCTGCAGTTACAGTAAGACTGGTATAATTACTATGCTGAAATCTAATGCCAGGATATGACTAGTGAAGTTAGGTAGCACACTTTAGTTCACTACATAAAAGTGGTTGGTGTCATATATTATCACAGTAAACAAATAAGTCTACTAAAGAAAATTCTCATTTTCATCTTGATTCTCATTTTTTTTTTTCAAATTCTCACCTTCACCTCATCTCAAACTGGAAAAGTCGTTCTTGCACTGCTTAATAAAAACAATTTCTGCATGGTTGCGGTCTGGAAACAGAAATATGCTGAAACACAATATTGGAAACAGAAAGTTGGATCTCATAGGAATGCAGAAAAATACAGAAAATTCAGGGCAGTGTCAGCACTAGCTGCTCTGATATGTACTTTATTACTACATGTGTACCTGTGTATAAGAACAATTTGCTGCTTGAAGGTGGCAACTCTGGTGCTAAGCATGTAAATGAAACATGTTGAAGCAGAAGAACTCATAAAAGTTAGGTTGCAAGCTTCTGCTAGACTGTGTCTTATCAGTCGCACATAACAGAATTCATAATATGAGATTAATATATTTCAGAATTTACATGATGTTTATGATCAGCAGTATGTACCTGATATCATATGACATACATGCTACTCAAAATTCTATAGTGTATTTCTGAAAACCATAAATTTAAATGCATTATTAACTGGAAGAACGAACATATAGTATGCATGGGAGAAATGAGAAAGTCACACAGATGTTCACTGGAAAATCTGAAGGGAAAAGACCACTTGAATATGGAAAGATACTATTGAAAAAAGGGACTGCTTCTTGATAAGACTTTGTTCAATGGAATTAACCAGTTAATTATTAACTCTCAGAAATGGGGAGTTGGTTGTGCAATTAACAGGATTTGTCAATCAAGAAAATGGATGATAACAACCAGCTGTAGTATGATACAGTACTATTATTTTTTTTGCCACAAAGGCTTACCTGCAAGGTCAATGAGAGGCATGAAGAAGTATTCCTTGAAGTAATGTTTAGAGAATAAATCCATGGCAGTGGCACACATCTTCACATACAGCAAGCGCTTGTAGCAGCTGTCATTGTTACGTAGGTCTAGAACCAGCACAGAAGAAATATATGGTGAAAATTAAAAAGCATTATATCATTCATGGATAATCCTGTTACTGTTGTTATAGCTTATGCTTCCAGGTATTCTCTTGCCTGGCAATGGTGAAGGAATAAATTTCCATTTTAGCTGGGAGCACAGACAATGTAGGATTCCCAGTTTGCCTCCCCTGACAAGATGATAGTGAAGGTGAAGGTTATGGGCGAGAGGGAATCTGCAACCTCAGGTGGGATCTCAACCAAGGAAATTGCCAGGTACAAAGTTCTGACTTTGTAAGAGGAGAGGGATAGAAAATTTGAAGGGAAAAAAAAAACATTAGCACTGTATCCATCCAGTTCTGAGACTCTCATATTCAGTGTGAAAGGCCCCTGAAAGACCAGTTTTCCCAGGAAAATTCAGTAAGGTTGAAAATATAAGGAACACTTCCAGAGAAAGGTCCCACTGACACTGATAAAAGATAACAGTATATATTCTTGCCCACAGTGCAAAGTTCCTAAAGGGAAAAGTTAATGGAAACGAATGGAAGGGTGCAGATTAGCAAGAAGATATTAGAAGTTTATTTATGAGCTTTGAAAACAAGGCTAAACTAATTTCTAAACTAACTTGAAACAAGGCAGTTGATAAATATCTGTCACCTGCTGGTAAAATTTCCAATGTACTTTCAAATGCTAGGTCAACATTTTAATTTTTTTAACTTTTTTCTACAGAATGACTTCTTTTATGAGATCTGATGTTTTCATGGCAGTGAGTTTAATATTGTGGTCCTCTGGGTTATGACAGCATGTAGCCTGGCAGGTGAAGACCAGTATTTCAGAGGCACATACTGCCTCCATCTTCAGAGCCTGATGGTGGATGACAGACTATTATCATAACCAGAAGACCATTACATAGATAATTATTTGTCTTCTGTTTTGCTGACAGCATGTGACCTGCATAAGTTACTTAATATCTGAATAAGATGACAGGATGATGATAATGTATAGTGAACGGAAAGGACTTTAAAGGAAGTTGTAATGGCCTATCTCATGCTAATACCCTTGCATTCACCTAGAAATGGCAGGAAGGAACCTGCAAACATTTCAATAATATTTGCTTCTAAACCCTCTCATACTCAGCATTCATGATCATCTGCACATTTCATTTGATGTTAACAACATCTGAGTTAAAATGTACCATTAAATAATCTAAGAATCGATCACTTCCAAAAGTTGCACATGTTACATATTGCAGGGGGTAGACATGTTACTAGGTCATAATCACAAACAAATAAATCTCTCCACAGCAACAAATCAACATGCAACAGAGGAACTACTGGAAACAGTGTTTTTCTATGGTGGTCCATACCAAAGAGTTGCAAGTGGAATAAAGTGAAGACTGAGATCAGTTGTTGGAGTTGTGGAATCTGTGACAGACAGTTGGATTAAGTGGACAGTGTTAAAAAGTCTGGTAGAATTTTCACTGACATTCCAGAGGAACATAAATAAACTTCTACCCCACTGCAGACATCATACCCAAGAAGCAACTATCATCATAACTAATTCATGAAGGCTCCAGTCATAGAACAAACAGGTTCAGCAGTGAAAACCCACAACTGGACATGGTCCTGAGCCACACATTTTAATCACAGCCTTTTTCCCTAAGTAGGATTTAAAGTTGTCACAGCAGTGGTTATGAAGGGTTCTATCTTCTGGGATATAATGCCTAGCAGTCTGTTGAAAGTTAGCAGACATTTCAGAGGAAAATGTTGCCTCCATCTTCAGGGTTAATGAATATGCCAAGCAAGAAACCAAGCTGCAGCAGCTTCATTGGACTACACAGCACTATATCCCAGGAGACTGAGTTCCCTAAGCTCCATCTTAACACTGGTAGTACCCTGGCCTTGGTCTTGGTATTCCAAGCGACAATTACCTAATGTTCCTAATCTCTGATATTCTGTAAGCATTTATGACCTCCCTTACCTAAGAAACATGACCCCTTTATAACGTCTTTTATTTCCCTATCCTAAGAATACTATCTGCATGTCATATATACATTACAAAGTTCCTTGATATATAACACCCTAAATTGCTTATTCGCTTCATCTCTCTTAGATCCAAGTATTTTCTTCAGCATGGAGAAGCCTCAGAAGGGGCAATTAAGACTAAATAAATTGACTTACATCAGACTTACAACAAAATTTAATGCATATTCATCTTTCCATGTCTTGATTTTGGAAGATGAGTATACTCTCACTAACAGCACCATTGTCTGGCCTAATCCACTCCTGATACGCCTTCATGACACAGTGCTTAATTAGTTAAGCACAGGGACAACTTTACCTTTTTATCTTTACTGGTTGTCTATTTCTCCCTTTTACAGCAAACTTACACTTGCCCAAGTGTACTCCTCCAGTAACCCTGCTGAACTTATTAACAATGGAGCTCCCTCTGTTGATGTTTCTACGCCCATCAACACTAATACTATCAGTCCTGTTGGTACCAGTGAAACATTTGGCAGAATAAGTTCTTAATTTGTTATGTCAGGCCCTGGTGTTGCTGCAAATTTAAATCAACCCATCATGTCCAGTGAAAGTGCTTCTGATCACATTGATATTTATCAAAATGCTAGGAGCCTTCATACCAAATGTACCAATTTTTATGACAGAATTTACACTGAGGATTAAAAATCATTTGCCTTACTGGGATGTAACAGATTTTTTTTTTTTGCAGTCACAACATGAAGGATTCTCTCTTCTGTGATACAATGCCATGTGGTCCTTTGATTCCTATTCTTGACAGTTTAAATGTACTTGTCAGTAATCATTACTTTCCACCTAACACAAATAAAAAAACAATAACCAGTATTTCAATTTCCTGAAGGAAATGTGCAGGATCTCTGCGCATTTCCTGTTTATTTTGTAATTATACTTGTGGTGATTATGCTGTGCTTTTCCAAAATTTATCTTGCTATAACTGGTGTTGTGAGTATGACCAATCCTCTGCTGATGTTGCAGTTAACCAGCTGACTTCAGTTGTTACTGATGCCTTAAATTAAGACATTCCTTATACCTATATATATATATACTAAGAAATTAAAGTTCCCAGGCTGGTATTCCAGCATTTTGAAATATTTCATTAATAATAAGGGTCACTATTTTCATCACTATAATAAAATTCAACCAAATTGCATTATATCACTTTTTCATACTTTCATAAACTTTTCTTAATTACTGTTAAGTTTTATGGACAGTGCTGGTTAAAGTTTGATGACTGCAGGTTTAAAACTCTACCCAGTCATTACTGGAAATATGTTCCTAACTTTAACACATTGCGGACCGGTTGTTTTTTCTTTAGGGTGTGACAGGAAATGAGCGTGATCATGTTACTGGCTAAGCTAGCAAACATTCCCGAGGTCAACTACGCAGTAGTTATGATGCAACATGGCCACACAGCGAGATATAGTCGGTTGCAACATAACGCGTCAGAAAAGGGCCAATTGGCCCGCCCAGTCCGCAATGCTATAGAAACGTAGAGGGCCAATTCGCCCCTCTGGTCCTGAATATGTTAAAACAAAAGAAAACTGTTTCGTTTCTTTGGAAGTCTGCGATAATACAGTTACAGATTCCAAAAACTTTGCAGATGCTTCTGCTAATCAGTTTAAATCCATCTGTAATATAACTTCTCTGACCATTACATCTTCTCATTCTGTTACATCAGTCTTGTTAGCTACATCATCTATTTCTGCTGCTGAAGTCAGTAAGTTTATATAGCATCTTAAAATTTTCAAGTGGTTGGCAATGATGAAGTTCCATCTCTTATCATTAAAGGATGCTCTCATATATTTACTACCTCGCTAACTTATATTCTTAACCTTAGTGTAACCAGTGTGCCATTCCCATCCTTTTTTAACCAGGCTGCTGCTGATCCAGTTTAAAAAAAAAAAATGCTGCACCATGGTTAATAACTATATAACTATCTCTTTACTTAACAGTTTATCCACAGCTTCTTTTTTGATTTATCATCCATGATTATTTATGTTAATTCCATCAACATTAGCTTAATCCTTCTCAGTATGGTTTCTGTAAACTTCGTTCCACTTTGACCATTTTGGTTACTTTTGTTAACATTGTTTCACACTCAAGTAGTACTCACAGTTAACCTGATTCAGTTTATTTTGATTTATGTTTTGCTTTTGCATCATTCCCCATTCTCTGGTTCTTTGTAAACTCAGCAGTTCTGAATTTTTCCCCCAGTTATGTTAATTGGTTTCACAGCTGCTCAACCAATATACATGGCTCAAGATCTTTGATACCCTTTCACCTTCTTATACTGTGAAGTCCAGTGTTCCACAACGATCCACTTTAGGACCCTTGCTATTAAATATTTTTATTAGCAATATTAGAATTATCGCCTGCCTGCAGATGATCTTAAGGTATACTGTAGTATCAGGAACGTTGATAATTGTATGCTTTTACAGTGACATAGACACCGTTCAGAAATAATATGTGGATACAGTACGAAATTACATACTGATACAACTACAGTTATTTCATTTACTCATAAAACTAACAGTATGAACCACAAATACAAATAAGGTAACAAACTTTAGCTGGCTCCCAGTATACAGAAGATCTTGGAATCTTGTTAGACAGTAGACTTTATTTCCCAAGCCATGTTGGTTACATTTTTTTTTCACAAAGTTATAAATGTCAGGTTTGATTAGTTACATTATTATTTTCCTTTTCTACTACTGGCAGTCTTGTGATTTCGTATATCATTTTAGTCTAATCTAAACTTGAATACAATCTATTGCCTGGAACTTTGTCACATCAACTGACTCATCTGAACTTGAAAGAATTCAAGAACATATTTAGCCTTATATTACAGATTTCTTCTTGGCACTTGAGATAATATATATGAAGACTTATTGATTAGACTGAATCCTTCAACATTCCAGTTTAAGCAGCTACTCCTTGGTGCTTCATTTCTCATTAGCATCTTTAAAAGCAAACTTTGTTTTTCATTAATTTACTAAGGCTGTTAAGAGAACATGTACCAATTAGGTCAACTGAGACAAATCAACTTTTTAGGTTTGCCATTATGCAAAGGGTATTTTTAACTGATATTATTAACGATGTTAATAACATTTGTAATAATATTTATGGTTCATTTAAGTTATTTAATTTTTAGTGTTATGACTCTGTAATTTTTCTTCTTGTTTGTCCATATCTGCTCACAGTTTCTGTATTAAAGTCACCATCTTTAGCAATTGCTTCCAGCTGCTTTCACTGTTGCCAGACACTTCAATAAATGAAACCAACTGAACTTAATTGTGACATGCTCATTTATTTAGTTTAATCTGTATTCAGTTTTAGCCAAACTTCTTAGCTAGCACATTTCTGTAACAGCTTTTGTATTCATAATGAACTAATTAACACAATCAGCATATACAACTATCTGATACAAGCAATTCAGTCATAACATTTCCCATTTCTCTTGGACTTTCCTTGTGGCAAATTGCATGGTGGAGTTAAAAAAGCAGTGGGGTTAAAGCATCTCCTTGTCTTAGCCCACTGTGAATTTGACATGCATCAAACAAATGGATATATAAAAGCTATTATACTCATGCATGCACATTTTAACTAACCTATCAAGTTTCTTGAATATGCTACAATGACCTCCAAAGTCAGAAATGGAGTTGGCTGTAAATATACCAAACAGGGAGTCACAGTCAAAGAATGAGCCTCCAAGGGTGGGAATAACATTTCACTGTAGGCTTATTTTCATAAGAAATTAAACCGAAGAAAATAAATAGCTGAAAATAAAACTTCACGCTTGTGTAATAAGAACCGAAGCTAGTATAAAGGATTGTAAATAAAGAACTGTTCATACAAACTAACCTGTATCAATACGTGCTCGGATTGCATTTTTCTGGGTCTCTTTCACATTGTAACGCAAAAATACCAGCATAGTTCTTGCAGCTGCCATGCGACATGGGACAGGACGCTATTAGAAATAATAAAAACTGTTGTTACAATTCATAATAATAATAAATGTTTAAATCATTTACTCATAATATTATATTTAAGCATCCTGTTGCATTAATATGTTTTGTACACATATATTTCTGCCTTAAATGCAACTTATTATCTACTCACCCTTCTTCCCCACTACATGTTTCATCTGCATACAGCCATCATTAGAGGTTGAATATCTTGCTAAAACTGTTGCATTGTATGTCAAAATTATATATTGCATGTGAACTAGTTATGCTGTCAAGTGGTTTGTGTATGTATATATTATCCACACACAAACCACTTAACAACACAGGTTTTCCTACACTGCTAGAACACAAACCACTTAACAGAATAAATAGTCTAGCAGCATGGAAAAATCTACATCCAATACTGCATACATAACAAAACTGATAATAACACTACATCAATATCCTTACGAACTGCACAAATAACACGCCTAAGAACCATGCTGAAAGGGAAATTGAATAAATCCACAATGAGAAATACTTAAGCAAATATCTTTTAAATGAATGGAAGACAACAACAATGAAAAACATTAAGATGTTAATTAGTTCTAATTCAAGGTTAATTTATTTTCATATTATTGCGTTGACACATGATACAAATGTTTTACATACACTGCAACAATTTTATGAAGACAGACAACACCTGATGATGGTCGTATGTGGCCAAAACATGAAGTGAAGAAGAAGGGTGACTAGATAATAAGTTGCATATAAGACAGAAATATATGTGTACAAAAGACCATTTGCTCATGCCTAATGGAATGATACTACTAGAAACAATCTGGCATTGATCCATGCCTGCAACATTGGAAGGGTTAAAATTTACATCAATAAAGAGAAATAAGTAAAGATGCACAAATTCTGTGGAGCTAGAAATACCTGTTACATGCAAACCTGGGATCTGAACATATTCCAAAACAAAAAATCTGATGTTTCTGTGCTTCCTTAGAGCTTACACCTCTTTGAACATAATAGACAAAACATTTCAATATGAGAGAGTAATCAGAAAACAGAAAAACTGCATTTACTAATTCTCTCCACGTAACAACTTTAATTGGAATTTTTTGCCTTATAAATATATAACAAGATATATTTAAAAATTAATTTGCACTAATTAAATGGTAGCCCAACAGGGACTGAAATTATCAGACAATAAGCAACATTACGCAGACCACATTAATAGAAACAGCAAAGTGTTTATGACCATTAGGATTTGTATTTGTGGCTGTATTCCCCATCATATTTTCATAATTCTCAGTGCCCTTCTTCAGCAAATTAGGTTTATGAAGGGAACATGTGACACATGGTGACAAATCACATGATAAATTCATAAGGTACTTCTTTTCACTAATGGTATTGTACTTACAGCAGCATGTATACGGTGGAAAATAATTGGAATGAAGTGGCTATAGATGAAATCTGATGGCATGCAGTGAGGCAAATACTCCAACTGACCAAGTATCTCTGCATGAAGCCTCCAGTTGGTAGTCATGCTGATCTCTGCCTCACACTTGATGAGAGCTCGTCCAATGTTCAACACTGTGTTGTCCTATAATGATGTAACTGTTTCATTAGATATACACTCAGCACTATAAATATCCATGCTCTCAGGAACCCCTGAAAAAGTAAGTAGACATACATATTTTGTCAGTCTGAAAAACCATCACACATGCCAACAATACAGAATACACAATACAGAAAAAATCAGAAAGAACTTGTTCAAAGAATTACCTCGAGAGAGTATCCCAACTAAATGGAATACCTGTTTTGTAAAAGATGAAACTAAGTTGTACAGTTTTTAGTCCTGGACCAAAATGACCCAGAGATGAATGGGAAGCATGAAATTAAAGATGTGTTCAGGATTAATCCCAGTAACTGGTCCAGATGAATGAGCTTAACCATTTGGCCATGTTTACTCCTGAGGAAGAAGTCCCAGTACACAACATAAACAGAAATAACTCACATGGTGACTGAATGTAGTATGTGCATTACATTATAAGCCACAGAAAAATTATGCTGTGACAGGAACTCAGAGTCACACACTTTTCACAGTTTCTACAACTCAGGAAGATGAAGTGGGAAACACTCATATGTTACAAAACACTTTTGGTTCACACACTATCTTCATTTGCTTCCCTCCTAATGTAAAAATGGCCACAACATTCAAGTCTGTGTGAAAACAGTAATTCTGAAAGCTGCCTTGCATGTTCTGTGTGACTCTAAGGTTGCAGCTGAATCAAAATGTCATTACCTGAGAACCTATTTCATGAAATCAGTGGCTACATGAAGTTTCCATTAAGCAAAGTACTGTGCTTCATTTGAAGCCAGACTTCTATATGGCTAAAGCACAAAAAGGGGACAAACAATGCATTGAAGATAGCCATGGGGCAAGGACTGTCGAACATGTGCCCTATTAAATCACAAAACAAAAACACCGCCACCAACTACTGTTATCACTGTTGTTGTTTATATTGTTGTCATCACCACTGTCTTTGTTATGACAAATTTCCATATACCAGATATAGAACTCAAGTCACAATGTCATTTTAACTTGAAATACAGGGAGGTTCTTACCTCTGCTGACCAGTTCATGGCTCTGCACTTCATGGTGACCAATGCACCACCAGCTGCGAGGCTATAAGAATTCCGCCAATGAATCAATATGCCTGCTGGCCGATAACAATCGGAATGAAGCAGTTGCTAAACACAGATCACAGAAGGTGTTGAAAATGTTCCTCTACATGTAGATATTCTTTGCACCAGCAAAAGATGTCCTGATTTACCCTTTGAAACTGTTCTGCAGGAACATTTACAATTTCACTATGAATATTTTTTTGGTCTTCCATTTGGGGGTTACTGCTGTAAACTCTGTCCTTCGAACAACCCCAGGAAAAAAATCACAAGGAGTAAGATCAGGTGAACAGGCTGGCCAAATATCACTGCTGCTAATTCTGTCCCTGAAGACATCAGACAAAGCCTGCATAGACATACGTGTAGTGTGGGCAGTTAACTCTGGAAAGAATTTCCAAAGAATGTACATGTCTTTCACAATTAATTGTTTTGTTAAAAACACAGGCACAACAATCCTTCTTGCACTTACAGCACACCAAAAACCAACTTTCACTGGAGGGAGCAGGACTGCATGGGTGAGATGTGGATTCTGTGAATTCCAGTAGCAATTATTCTGCATATTTATGTATCCCTGCAAGTGAAACGCTTCATCAGAAAAGAACGTCAAATGAGGATAGATCTCACCTTTCATGACAGACTGTAGAAACCAACCGCTAAAGTGAACTGTGCTAGCTCGATCACGCCGCTGCAAAGAGTGGATTACTGTTGTTCTATAGGGTCTAAGCTTCAGCAACTATGTTGCCCTTCTTGCATTAGACTCTGATACTCCAGTCTCTTGTGTTTCAGTGACTTTCTAGGTGTATGTTCAAGTCTGGCCCCTATGTCATCTAACCTTCCCTCAGTATGCACTTGGCACTGATGTTTTTTATTCTTGTCTGTTAAGAATCCCGTTGATCTACATTTATTCACTAAACTGTGAACTGTTTGCCTGCTGGGAACTATTTCATCACTGAATTTACATCAAAATTTTCACTGCCACTTTCTAGCAGATCCATACTTCACATGGGTGTCATACAAAAATAAACAATGATCTAAAGTACACGACACCATGACAGAACACACTGCTCACTAATTGTAACTGAGATCAAATGTGTAATGGAGTTGATAATTACTGCCCACTGCTGACAAATCATAAAAAATTTCCATGCATGAACAACACTGCTGGTTATGAAACATGATGCAGTCAAGTGGTCCACAAAGTTTATAACTTCCCTTCATTACAAATGTTGCAGGCCATCAGACATACAGATTCATTGGCAAAATTCACATGCGCCTTGCAGCCAGTGGTGCACCAGTCACAATGAAGTACAGAGCCATTTGCAAATATAGTTTCCTTTTATAGAATCAGCTGGTTTTATGTCAGATATCGGACATATGGGTTTCATTAAACCAGAGAAACTTTCCAAGTAAAGGTTTGTTGGGCTACAAGTCCTGACTTTTGTTTATTATGTTGGTGACCATGCTCTGGACCAAGTTTCAGTATATTTTATTATTTTTTTCTATCTTAAAAGAATCAATTTCTTAAACAAAGTCAATTTTTGAATCTTTCATCGATAATTCTATCAGCAACTAAAACTGGACTGGAAAGGATAAAACTGCCAAACAAAAGAAAATTCATATCTTGACATTACAATGATAGAACTTGTTAACACTAACCTCAATACCCTGCACCAGCAGGAAAGACAACAGCTTGTATTCATTAACAACCATACAAACTCAAGTGCTCACCATAAAATCTGGTGAAAAGGTGCCTGCCTTAGAAAGCAGTAACAGTGTTTGTCCCAAGTGAGGCACCAACCCTTGTAACACTTCTGCATCATCCTTCAGCAATGTTATCAGCTCAGGTTTCAACACTGAGCTGGCTGATCCTAATATCCCTGCAATCTGCAAACAGTATTCATTCATTACAATATGAATTTACTGGAGAGACTGATGAAAAAACATGAGTAAGAACAAATATTTTTCTTTTTACAATAAGTGTATATCAAACAAAATTTTACCAACACTTTCATTTTAAAAGATACAAATCTATCATAGTCTACCAGTCAAAGAACTACATAAACATGGAAGCAGTCACATTGAATACTACTGTCACATTTTTATTTCTGGTTATGATACTCAAAATAACAGCATTACGTATTTACTAGTCACGGCAGCCCTTAAACTTTCAAGATCAAATTGAGAAAATATTGATTTAATCAATCATTTTTCAATTTCAAACTTTAAGAATTTTCAGACAATTGCTTTTGCTCTCCACATACACATGCAAACAACCCAACCCATTTGAAAGCCATCACCGCTCAACATGTGTCTCCACCTCTTTCTGCAATATGTTACAGTGATAACAACCGCAAAATAGCTGGATAAAAATGGAATTTAGCAACTAGCATGAAGTAAATAACGATGTGCACAAGAGAAGCATGGGAAACAAACACAGTGCAGTGGTCTCACTTGAGGATAGAGTTCACCCGATGATGGCCCAATGAGGCCGAAACATGTTGTGAAGATAAATTACATAAAACCAAGATAACTTGAGGCATGTGGACATACACTTTTAATGTGTAAATTTATATGCTAACATAATAGCCTACAGGCATTTTAAGTGTCATAGTATTAAAATGCAATTTTAGAGAACAACATATTCCTAATGTCTCTTTAAAGTTGTATTATTGATGGATACGTTAGTAAAGTAGGATAATGTCTCAATACAACGGGATGCTGAAATATAATATTGTTTAATTAGTCAACAATAACAAACACAGTGATGGTTTGAAATTTTAAGATTACATATTACAAATTTAACATACACAAATATGTAATTAAACAATGAGTTCTTTAAAAAACTATAGCTGCACTCCATTTTGAATGCTGTGTCTTCATATACCTACTAAATTAATTAGGGATCTTTCCATTTTTACTGTAAATAATGCTTTAAAGATTAAATCTTTCAGTTAGATGTTCCAATACTACAAACAAAATTTGTAATTTTTTTATATTTTTAAGAGCAACATTTTTCTCTAAAGGATATATTCTCCGTGCATGAACCTATTTAGTTTATTGCTTTCATTTAAGTATATTGTGATTATTTTATGGCAGTTTATATTTATTTTTAATAACTGCCTGTTACAGGCTTCTGCTGTTGGCAAGAATTCTAATAAAGAAATTTGAATTATCACTGTAATTATCACTGCTGCTGCTGTTGTTGTCACTGTCACTGTTGTTACTGTTGTTGTTCTTATGTTTGTCCTTGATATACTTTTACAAAAAGAAAATCAACCACATACAATATAATATATATATATATATATTTCTGTTTCCTTAACAATAAATTATGTCTTCATATTTCCTATCAACAGTAACATAGATATGTCATGCAGAATCTGAGAAATCAAAGCATGTATAAATACATCACTACTGTTCAGAGATCATTGAACATTTTTGCTAGAAGGTTCTAAAATATCTTATATTGCTCACTTCCATTACCTGGGCTACTACATCTGTGAGATTCAATGAGAATATTGTCAGGTTAAAGGTCAAAGAAGCCATTACCTCATACAAGCCACAGGCAACTGTATGCCGAATCATGAAATATGGATCACATGCAAGATCTCGGAATGTGGAGTACAGTTGTTGACTGAAGTTATCCATTTTTCCAGCTGTACCACAAAACGCGGTGATGGCTGGGAAGTTGTAAGCACAATTATGTCTGCATGCAATGTGGTTGTCAGTGTTGGCTGGTACCACATCTGGCATCTATAATTGTAAAACAGTGATTATAAATACTCAATGTATCCTCTGACTTTGCCAATATTCTCTAAACGACAATTAGTTCCTACACGCAAATATATATATATATATATATTTTTGTGACGTGGATGGCGCAACAGGAAGTAGGGGTCACGTGAACTCTGTGGTCTCGCGAGTGTACTACGCTACATTGTTTTTCATAGTTACTGCTGTGAGAACCTCAGATCTCAGATAGTTTTGTGCTGCTAAAGTANATGTTCTATTTGTTAATCCAACAGTAATACCTTAAAACTCAAGTCTTTCTGTACCCCATGAATGACTGCTTTACATGCAACAAACTGTCTGTGAACCATTCTTAACCGTTCAGCGTGGTCTGACGTGTATGTTTCGTCAGGTATTTAAATCGTCTGGGGGGGTTCGATGTGTATGTTTCGTCCAGCTGCACACCTATGTTATAACGCCCATAATAATTGATGGTTTTGCTGTAGATTGTTACATTTTTCGCTGGCCTGTTGTCAGGAGAACTGTATTTAATGACACATGAGTTTAAGAGCGCTAAGTCATCATTACATATGCCTGTCTTGCAGCAAAGTTCCTGTGGCTATTGCGAGCGGTTCTACTGTTATGAATATCGTGTTTTTCTTTGCTATGAAGTTATAAACAGCAGAGACATGATATGTGCTGTGTTTATAATATCATATTGCCCTGAGCTGGCCACACTAACACACTCAATTGGAATTCTTAGAAGAGGGATGTCCATACATTTATTCTTGCGAGATCCATTGATTTCGCACAGTACAAAGGCCCAGTTCTTAGAAAAACGCCACAACTTAAGGCAGAACACTGTGGTCACCCCCTGAGACGATACGGATGTGTGTGGGGGAGGGAAAAGAACTCATTCCTTCATGTATTATCGCTCCAGTTGACGCCATTTTATCGTACTGACCTTGGTGGTCGTTTCGAGGGATGACCATAAATATTATTTTTGAGCAGCTAAGCTCTGCTTTCGTTCACTATATACCAGCCANGGGGAAGAAGGCAAGGCCGCACAGAAGTGTGGTTAAAAAAAGAGCCAAAGGAAAGATACGCAGTATTGGTGTGGGAATGTGAGCCAGCGCTGTGTTTAGACGAATGCTTCAAGGCGTCACCTGCTTGCATTGCCGAGATACCGGGCGTTCATATTATAAGGCAAGGTTATAAAACCATCTTTTAAGATCATTTTAGTGAAAGTTTCATCCTTCAAGGCGTACCATTCACTGCTCAAATACTAAACAACCTGCTTCCATTGCCGAGATACAGGGCGCTCATATTATAAGGTAAGGTTATAAAACCACCTTTTAAGATCATTTTAGTGAAAGTTTCATGTTCCTATCTCATATATTTTAAGAACAATGATGAATAAATCATTTTCGAGCAAAATTTAAATGGACGGCTGAATATATTACCGCCGGAGAGACGGCCGCGGAATTTAAATGACCGCGCGGAAGGGTTAATTATTTAAGCTTTTCTGTATTTAGCATGAAAAGGAAAGTTAATGGCATTCATATTTCCCATGAGGTAAGGTAAAAATTTAAAATTATATACAGATTTTTTTCAAGGTGTGGAATACCATTATGACATTATATTGGAAAAATTAAAATTACAGACACTGTATATCAGACATAACCACCTTGATCCTTTGTTCTTAATAAATGTCTTCAGTGGCATTAAATATTCCCCATTATTTTTTTTTTATTTTTTTTCTTTCCGTTCATTCTGTCCTGTGTTGTCTTACTGCTGCTTATGTTTGTATTTGTGCTGACTCTGTATTTGGCTATTGGCTCTCAAGCTCAGCACATAAATGAATTAAGAATTGACCTGAATTGAAACTTTGTCTTATCTAAGATTTTAAAGGTTGATAGACTTATCGTTGATTTTACAGTACCTGTAGCTGCCCTTTTTAGATTATGACTCAACGGTTTCAGCTTTTATGTTTGTCACACTCTGGTATCGTAGACTCTGGCCATTACAATATGGATAATGTCCAGGAAGTAAATTACTGTACTAACATACCATCATCAGGAATTTTTAGGTGTTATTTAAATTTACGAAGATGGCAATGTGAAGAGGAAGCAAACGTATTTCCAGGCAAAATCAGGAGAATAACAAGAATAATAAAACCTGGAATAATGAAAAAACTGTTCTGGAGGTATGTGCTTGAAAAATTGGGACATGTCTGGTTGAAGATCAATCATACCACCACAGAATAACCCACCACTTCCTATTACTTATCATCAGACTAATACAGAGACCATGCAAACCCTACCCTCATGCAATTATACATGCCATACTCTATGGAAATGAAGGTGGATCATCACAATATAGTGACACAGACCATTATGTCACTGACGTCATCATTGGAGAGTTACTAGATTCTATATTCAACAAACTTCCAGCAACTTATTTAAATTTTGACAATGATGACTATCTGATTATGTATGTATATTTATATGTTATATTGTATTATTGACTTGTTCTATATCTGAGGCAGATGCCTCTATGGATTTTTTTGGAACTATAAATAAATGAATGAATGAATGAATGAATGAATTCATACACCAGCTGGAAATTCAAACATACTAACACAGGACTTTTCTTCTGTAATATTACCTACACAAGGTACAACATACCATTGTTCACAGGGTAGACAGACTTTAGTATATTTGTGTGATATGTCACACACATTTTAACAGAACTCATTTTATGAATTTGTTGTTATAATAATATATTCCTGATATCTAATGCAATTTACTGGAATAGAATTTCCCTCTGATAATGAGGTTTTCAAATTACTAAACATCACAAAGAATTTCATATACAACACTGAAACATTGGCTTCAGAATAATAAGCCATCCTCTTCTTCTGTTATGAAAACGAAAATCATGAATAAGGTTCATTAATTTCCAGATGGAGACCTCAGAATCAAAATACTGATCTTCTGCAAAGCAGATGTGCCATGGTCAATATGAAACAATTAAAGTTGTATACTTCATTCAAAATTCATGCACAGAAATTCTCACTTAAGTGCCTTACCATGGCATAGTCAGGTACATTTGTCTTCATCACCTGAGGCAGTCCCAACTCAGCCATTTTCTGGTAGTGTCGCAACATCCATGCTTTCTCCTGTGGTGTAAGCAGCTCTGCAACAAACCATTAATCAGTTATTCTGTACTGCAACAGGCTATATTTAACAAGTCAATTCCTTGTTCTTAGAAATTTCATAAAAAAATGGATGAAATAACAATGACTAGACTACAAAGTTACCTTGATGTCAAAACAGAGTTGAACAAAAAGACAGATAGCTAGCCATGTACAAAATTGGGCTACACACTGAACAATAGCATTGGACTGAACCCACAAGAAGCTAAAATTACTTGGGTACAAGTGAACTCCTGCAGTTGATATTAGAGTAAGTACTGTTCTCATGGGCATCACTGATACAGAAAATATTTCATATACTAAAATATCAATGGGGAGGCCAAAAATTAATGCCCTGTAACTCAAATATACATGTTTCAGACTCTAGTGGATATTAAGGCTTCTGTATTTTCGAATCAGAGTGGAACACTTATAGAAGTACTGGCTTTCTGGACTTCATCCATCATCTAGTATTGTAAAAACTAGAGAAAGTGACTCAGGTTAGCTCCTTCTAAGGGACCCAACAGAATAGGCAATTCCCTTCTCACCTGAAGACAGAAAGAGATCCAGTTTCTGAAACATCGTGTTCTCTAGTTTTTAGAATACTGGACAATGGACAAAGTCCAAAAATCCAATAAATCTTAAATTTGAGCTTCTTTAGCACATCAAATTAACACATCAACAATAAACATCATATACTGTATGCACAGTTGTACTTTCATCCATTTACTTAATTGTCAGTTTCTTTTGTTAGGTGACAACTATAACAAAGCAATGAATTATCATACACAGAAAACCTGAACTGTCAATGTTCAGCCAGTAGTGACAGCTATTTCACTTTTCATGAAAAACAATGCATATATGTAAATGATAATTAGATTTGGTAAGATAACTGTTTCACTGAACGATTGAGGTGTTCTGGTGTAAGACGGTGAAATTTTATAAGGAAATATAAGAGTATGGGACTACATAAATTATTGGATATTCTGGTCTATAAGAAGCACACAGAACTTTGATGGAAAACTTTAGGGGAAAATCTGCCATACCACCCAAAATGCATAGCGATTTTAGACAATATTTGCAAAGAAAACGAGTATGTCTTGTACACTGTAAAATATGGTACATGTTCTAGTAACTTTCTTTTATTAGATGTAAAGAAAATAAATTCAATTTCGTTAACATATTACCAATCTGAATATTTCCAAGAGGTAATTCCACCTAATACATGAACAAAGCTTTTGCCCATCTGAAGGAAAATTAAAGTGATGGGTTTTCTGAAGTTTAACCAAGAAATAAACACATAACCACCTGTCAGTGTGCATAAACTAGTGAACTCAAGTCTTCAGCATATCTGTATAAAAAATATAATACTCACTTTCTAAACCGAGACAGAGTTTTCCAAATTGCTCCGATATCTTCACCATCACTGAATCTTCTGCTCTCAAAGACTGTTCACACATTTTCTTCACCAGAGGAACAATTGTAAACTTCACTGAATCTAGGCAGAATTATAATATTAGTAAAATACTGACTCATTTGGAGACTACGAGAATAAATGAAAGAGAAGGATAGCATAATGTTAACACATTTGACCTGCATACAGAATATGTCTGGTTAGATTTTAGCTGGGGACTGGTTACAATAATTACATACTATTAGGAGTTGTCAATGTGACGTAACACACGAAATTCACAGATGCATATCTGATGTTAAACAAATAATGTTAAATGTTAAATAAAATCTATATTTTGCATTTTACTGGGAGATGGTATATTTGAGCACTGAACAGAGTAAAATCTGAAATGGGGAGGAAATCAAGTGATGTGTCAATTCTTTCTAGCATCTCCACAGCAAAGTTTGTACGTGGTACTTGGTCACTCGGTTTTAGTGTATGACTCATTTGAATCTTGTATACTCTTAGGCAGGGCCTTTCGTATAGTAGATTTTGCACTGCTGAACATGGAATTTGTAACTTCAAGCTAGCAGCATGAATTGATTTGCATGGACTTCACTGGAATACCTCTCTAATGTGACTAACACTTTGTTCAGAGGTCCGTGTCTTTCCAGGAGATTTTACATGCAACCGACTACCTGTAGTCCACATTTTGTTGTCCCAGAACTGAATGGTTTTCCATGTAGGAGGCTGACATCCACATTTCATTCTAAAACAACGCTGGACAGCCATAAGAGATTATAACTCTGCTAGCTACAACACACACTGAACCTGTTCCTGTGTTGTTGACATCATTACTGAGCTCACCAGCTGAGTGTTCAGCTTCACACCTCAACTACTTTACCCTAGCCCTAGTCTTTAGCACCCACTGAATAGGAGGTTGGGTGAGCCCCAGAGCCAGTATGGACAAGATCAGGAAGTGAAAATTCTTGACCCTTCCAGGACTCAAACTCCAAGCCCTCAGTCACCCAGCCCATAGCCAGTCACTATACTGACTATGCTAACCTGGTTCTACTAAATTTCAGGATCAACCTTAAATTATTATCTCATTTATATATTTACTGAAGACTGATAATGTAGCCTACTATCCATTAGACAGGAGTCAGTTTTGGTCTCCTCTGTTGCAAAAGAAAACAAAATCTGAAAGTGAAATCCATGACTCCTAACGTGTTATGTAACATGCTCACTAGTTCAGCACAATTTAATTTCTTTCATCTGACATAAATTTTAAGCAAAAGCAACTGTTCTATTATACATTATGTTGCCGTTGTGTTGGAGATTTTCTTTTGTTTTGGTATTGGATTCAATCATTTGTCATGACAACACGGGTCACAGAGCCAAAGAGTTTTGAGAAACATAGGAATGCATGACAAGATTACAAAATGAATGTAACCCTTTGATTGTCAAGCCCCAACATAGATCTACCAGCTAGAAATACCAAGGCTGTTTACAGGTAAATAACATTCAACAGAAGCACCCACAATACTTCCTCAGACAAGCTTCAGAATTCCCACATGTGCAGATTATCTGAAAGCCTGTTCTTTCCTCTACATACCTGTATGTTACATTTGATGCCATCTATTGATGGATATGTTGTACTAACTGATTAACAAAGAGACAATCTCTTCTGTTGTGACAGGTTTAACTCAAGTATGCTGACTTGATTTAATTGATTCATGATATGCAAAGGCTTAAAAATAAGACACCAACCTGCCTGTAAAGTAGGAAGCATATTGACAATAGTTTCCACAGCTTCAAGTCGTACGTGACTTTCTTCATCACTTGCTAGTTCCACTAATGATGGCAATAAAGCTGGCTTCACTGTCTCCGCATCCAGACTTCTAGCAACATAATGCAACTGTGAACAGATGCAAGCACGGACTTCATAGTTCACATCCTGACACAGTGAATGTATCAGTGGTAGTACTTCCTTCTTCAGCCTGTAAGAGAGCATTAAATATGAAAAGTGAAAAAAGACATAACAGTGTTCAAATTTGAGAACCTAGCAAAATGAAGCAAGATTGTGCCCCATTTCATCCTACCTCACTTCAAGCCTTTATTACACATTCATCCATTTTCAGCTGAAGATGAATTTTGGAGCTAATCACAATGAAAAAATTACTAAACAAAACATATAGTATATTATAGTACTGGTTCCAAAACTTAATCATTCCAAAAACTCCTACACTGAAAAATAATAATGAACACCCGTCTAAAACTCCTTGATAAGTTCTCATTTACATGTTTCTTCCACTCCCTCCAACATGCACATCGCTTAGGTTATCATCAGAACTAAAACTTCATACGCCAATCTGAAAAGAACAAAACTGGTGTAACGAAGTAACTTGCCTATGAAACTGGAAGACAATAACATATATTTTATAAAACAAACAGGGCACCAGAACTCATGTCACTTACTCGTTTTTTGCAATAACAATACTGCCATAAAAGCATCCACCATCATCTATCTCTTCCAGTGAATCCCAAGAGAGTGTTTATGTGGTCCCTGAGGTTTCAGAAAACATTGTATTATGGCTCCTAGTAACAATGAACCCACAGACCAAAGGACTGGAAAAGGATAAAATACCAAGAGCAAGTCTATATGTGGAGGGAAAATCGAACAATTGGACAGTAAGGAAAAAGCTGATAAAACTTGGTGAAAGGAGGCATGGATGGAACAGGGCTAGGCTGGAATAACTTCAAACAGAAAATATGTGAGACAGTGGGAAAGTCTCTGAGAAGAGATGACACACAAAAGTGGAAATGTTCATGCATATGAGAAATGGCTGATGTGAAAATGACATATCAAAAATGTTTCTGATTCTGTTATTAAAAGGGTTCACTGTAATGTTTGAGAATCATTCTGATAGTGATTGGACTTTACATCAAACAAAATCTGTGATCTCTCACTCCACCTCTCACATATACACATGCACATACATATATTTCATTTTCCTTTTGGTTCATTTAAAACACTGTAAATAGCTCAGATTATATAGTGTAAAATCAAAGGATGATTAGCAAAAGTAAAATTTACTACCACTGAATGTGACTGGGATGCCTACAAGTTGTCTCTCCCCCACAATGGCAATAAAATACAATACTACCACTGAACAAGGAGCTGTGTGGTGGCTGAGATGAAAACTTTAAGAGTGTTGAAACATCAGATTTAAGTCTGTTATCTGAAATTAAAACAAGAAATTCTGAGATGAACTAATCACCTACTTTCCTTTGATACAACACAGATTGCACAGAAAGCAACATGTCCAACAATTCTTCTATTGTTGCATGTGTATTCATTGCTGCAGTAATGCTTTTACTGAGCTGTTCCCTAGTAACGATAGGGGGATACACGTATAGACATACAGACTGAAGGGAGGGTTTTATAAAGTACACCATTATTTTTATTGCTACTGGGGTGGGACTAAGTCCCTGTACTGTGGCCACTTCTGGCCTTGTACCAGCCCCAGATGATAGGTGGAGCAATTGGTGGAATGAAGATTGGCAGGGGAACCAAAGTACTCGGAGAAAACCTGCCCCAGCGCCACTTTGTCCACCACAAATCCCACTTGACGAGACCCTGGATCGAACCCGGGCCACCATGGTGGGAAGCCAGTGACTAACCGTTTGAGCTATGGCACGGCCTAAGTACACCATTGAAATGGGCTCAGATAACAGGGGAGGATAGAAAGATGCACAGTCAGCATTTATATTTCTTAAAAATGAAAAAGGAGGCTAAAAAATTAACTGGAAATTGCCAGTCCATGTTGTTGCTGCTACATACTCACATATAGGGTTCAAATTTTGTTGCTATTTTCCCAAGTAATTTGCAGGCTGTGAGACGAGTAGATACAGGCTGAGCAATTTGACCTTTGGCAATGGCTACTGGCAAAATCTGGAAGAACAACGAAATGCACCAGATCATATCAGTAACAAGAGTCCTATTCCTCATATAATTAAAAAGAAAGAAATGTTAGTCAAAAATGTGCAAATTGCTTATACAGCATCAAAAGTAATAAGCAACAAATTAAGGTGCTTAGGATCAACTGCCAATATTGAAGACCAGTGAAAACGCTGACTGATTTTTCTTAAAGTGAACTGTTCTAAAATAATAAATTGATTTACTATGACTATCCTACTGAATAATATTTTAATATTTACTATACATAAACAAGTTTCACATTTTCAAGAATGAATCATGAAAAATCTTTCTCTTGATTTGAACACTGATCTTTCAGTCTTGAACTCACAATAGTTTATTATTTACTATGCATAAGCAAGTCTTAAATTTTCATGGTGAAATCATGAAAAATCTTGATCTTGATTTGAACACTGATCTTTAGTCTTGATTTCGTGAATTTTCAGATAACTCCTTTTGTGCTGTACAGCAGATACCCAATCCATAAGAATCATAATTGTCAGCTATGACAGTACAAATCAACTTGTAAACAAAGTCTATCTCTCACCCTCTTTCTGCCCATGGTCCCATGGTGAAAAAAGACATGACCCCAGAAATAAACTTTCTTAACATACAATGATTTAGAAAATTTGTCACTGAAAAAAGATCTGATATCAAAAGGGATAGGCCGCACACTTTAGTGCATTATGAAATGAGGAAAGTGTTTTAAACTGTAATTACTGTGAAAAAAACTAGTCTAGTACAGAAAACTGTCATTCTCCTCTTGGTTCTCAAAAATTTAATATTCTTGTCTTTATCTCATCTTAAACCTAAAGTTATTTTTGCACATGGTTATTATTTGTCATCATGGTGGCACACAGTGTTCATTTTATGCATAAAATCAAATGCAGGGCAGTTAACGGTTTTGAAAATGAAAGATTATGTGTGCAGTTCTTGGAACAGGTCTCCTAAAGTCTTGGCTTTCTATTATAATTCTAATCCTATTAAATTGTTGATAGAAAAACTGAATTCCACAAACTTCTGAAGTCTCTGGATGAAACCTTAGAATATGGTTGCTTGACAATAAGACACAATTATGTAACTTAAAGAGATCCACATGACATTAAGCATGGTCACCTTTAAAAAGTCCATTTTAACCTTTAAGTGACGGCCCTTTAAATTCCGGTAACGGCAGCAGGACGGATTTGATTTAAATACCCGCAATATTAAAGCAATAAAAACTGTAATCATTTCCTAAAATTGCTGTGATTTCTACAATTGTTGTGATAAACGCACCAAATAAACGCTGTTTTTTTCTAGAAAGAATATAGAATCAGATATCATAATTCAGAGACTTTATAAAATGTGTAAAAAATTTTAGACTGATTCCAAGCATAAAATTCCCAAATTTGTCGTCAGCCTACAAGAATTCATATAGTTCTTGGAAACAAGAACGCTCTATGCAGATGTGGCAACACAGGCAACACAGCGGATTGTTATGAAGATGATTATGTTTAGTCTCGCATGTCTCAAAGCATATACATGTACCTTCTTTGGTATGCAGAGATGTGGGCCTGTATATCACCGTTTATAAGAGCGCTGATTGTTTATTGTTCTCTTATGGAGAACTCAAGTTTCAAATAAATTACACAGTTCATGTCTGCAGTTTAGTCAGAAGACAGATGTACAATCACACCACATCACTAATAGGGTTCCAAAGAAGGAATACTGTTCCTTTGCAACATTAAAGA